CATCCCCATTGACCTTATGTTAATCAAATGATCTATGTTTAGGGTTTCATTCTTTCCTTGATCTTTAGATTCTCCTTTTCTTTGTGATACATTTTTTTGCCTTAACTGATTCATGATTGAGTTGTAGAGTAAGAATTATAGTAGGAACTTCTATTGAGTTTTTAGGTGAAACAAAGTGCAGAATTATTCTTGGATACACCCACTTGACCATGACATTAAAAGTCTGTGCCAGAGCTCATGAGGGTTTCTGTATAAAGGAGACAGCTTTCTTGCATTTGTCCATTATGATCATGAAATTGTAGTGGTCCATTTCTTTGTTCTTTACACCTAATCCATGCACCCTTCTCGAGTTCTGAACTCAGGTGGGGCTGGACTCCGGCAGCAAATGACCTGGGCACTTGGCAGCTTAGCCAGGCAAATGCTGACCTCACAGATCCTGCAGGGCTCAGGGTTCTGGGCCTGCTGGGTCATCAGGGTCAAGGTCTCCATGAGGTTGTAACGAAGGCGTCCACAGGAGCTGCTGTGTCATCTGAACACTCGACTGGCAGGGGCCAGCTCCTCCTTCAAAGCTCACCCCCAGGTTTGTTGGCAGCATCCCAGTCATCTGGGCTGTGCTGTTTGGCTCTGTACCTCAGGTTGGGAGGGAGGTCCCTCCAGGGGACAGCGGGCAGTGTGGCAGCTGGCTTCACGTGGGACAAGCCAGCAGAGCACAAGGCAATGAGTAAGGCAGAAATCAGCATCTTTTTGTCAACTAACCATGACCAGGACTTTCCATTGCTGATGCCAAGGTCTGTCACTAAGAAGCAAGCCATTTAAGTATGGTTCCCACAGCTGAAAAGGGGCCTCCACAAGGGCACCAATTCCAGGAGGCAGGCATCTAGGACAATCCAATTTTTAAAAGGTAAAACTTGAAAATGCTTGTGGCTGAGGACAAGAACAGAAGACAACAGTACAACAAGGGATGCTGGAGGGTCAGAAGTGGCAAGTGCACTCGGTCCTGTTGAGGCGTTTGACCTTATTCCAAAGGGCACCATTAGTTTCAGATGTGGTGGGCATTGCACCTTCAATAGCTCAGCCTGCTGGAAAAGAATAAACATGAAGAAACTTGTTAGAAAAGGCAAAATCAGCTGAAAACAGGCAAAACTTGTGTCCTTGTCCTGGGCTGGTGAGAATTCCAAGAGAAGTGCCTGCTTTTTATTATGAATTTGTCTGCTACATATAGTGTCTGTTTAATTTTTAAATGTATTTCCTTAAACAAATTTTATTTTTGGTGTTGTTTACATAGTCGAGAGGAATGCATACCCATATGGACCACTGATTAGGGTGAGGAGAGCTGAGGCATGGGGGAAAGTGGATGAGACAATTACTTTCAAAAAAATGTTTTTCTTCCTGTATCTGGGGGTAGGGGTAGAGGAGAGAGGACCACTCCCAGCAGCCTAACCACATCAACACCTGGGGAGGGAGGTCGGCCTCTTAATGTCATCCTAGGGTCCTTGGTGCCAAGCATGTTCCGAGGAACCTGCTCAAGTGGTTTCAATGGTTCTGAGATGTTGTTGATGCCCCTGCTTCAAGGTTGAAGAAATCTTCCCAAGGTCCGTTAGCTGACATAGTCCACCCTAGAGTTTCCACTCACCCAGATCCTTCCTGTCAAAGCTTGGTCGGGAGAGTTGTCCGATTTGTTCTTTCATCCAAGGTACTCAATGTCCTCTGCAGGCCTCAAGGAACTGTCATGTCCCCCACGTGCATCTGAACGTGCCATCCACTACACAGGCTTCAGCAACTGATGAGGCTCAGTTCATGTCAGTGTCTTTTAAACCAGATCCTCATACTACTTTCAATTAAAAGAATCGCTAATTTAAAAAATGCGGGAGGGGGGCACATTTGCAACAGTGGTTAAGACACCCAGCTTCAAATCCTAGCTTTGCCCCAGATTTTTATTTCTGCTAACACACACCTTGAAAGGCAGCAGGTGCTGGTTCAAGGACTTAAGTTTCTGCCACCCACTTGGAAGACCTGGAATAAGTTCCCAGATTCTGGTTTTGGACTGGCTCAACCCTGGCTGTTGTAGGCATTTGTGGAGTGAACTGTCAGATGGGAGATCTATCTTCCTCCTGTGCGTTTAACGGAATAGTTCTTTATAAATAAAAGATGCCATAGACTGTGCCATAGCACCCACTGGCACACTCAGGACCTAGGGCCTACTAGGGGAACCGGGGGAACTCCCTTGTTAGGCTGTAGCTTCCTTCTGCTGGTGAGTGTGAGAGCCTAAGCAGGCCAGGCCAGGCAGGGCTGCAGCACACATCAGCATGTGTGTAAGCCGGATCTGGGGGCAGCATGTCCACATCACATGCTGGTGAGAGCCAGGTCAAGTTGGGTTACAGCATCCACTAGTTCACATGAGAGCCAGGGCTAGGAGGTGGGTCAGGGCTGGGGTAAGCTGCAGCACCTGCCAGCAAATGCCAAGATCGGGAACAAGCCATGCCAAACTGGGCCACAGCATCCATTGGCATATGCAAGACCTGTGGCTGGGAGCAGGCCTGGTAGAGAAACTTCAAGGATTTTCCTGCTAGGATCTTCTCCACTGGTAAGCATGAGAGTTGGGCCCAAGGAAGGGCCAAGCTGGGCTAGACTGCCATACCTGCTGGCATTTGTAAGAACCAAATTAAGTGCAGGCCCAACTGGGTGGGTACCCCCTCAACTATGTAAGCAATATTAAAAATAAAAATAAGGGCCTGGCGCAATGGCACAGTGGTTAAGGTCCTCGGCTTGCACGCCCGGGATCCCATATGGGCACCAGTTCTAATCCCGGCAGCCCCACTTCCCATCCAGCTCCCTGCCTGTGGCCCGGGAAAGCAGTCGAGGACGGCCCAAAGCCTTGGGACCCTGCACCCGCATGGGAGACCCAGAAGAGGCTCCTGGCTTCAGATCGGCATAGCATCGGCCGTTGCGCTCACTTGGGGAGTGAATCATCGGACGGAAGATCTTCCTCTCTGTCTCTCCTCTCTGTATATCCGCCTTTCCAATCAAAAAATAATAAAAATAAATCTTTAAAAAAAAATGTTTGAAAAACAAATAACTGCAGTTTGGGGGGGGCTCATATAGCAGGGTTTTAGTGTGGCAACAGCTTTGCTCAGTCGACAGTTTCAGCAAAAGCGCCTTCCACCTTTGCCAGCAATGTGGAGGCAGCATTTTTGAGATGGATGTGGACCAAAGATGCTGCCCTGGGGGAGATGGCTGACCCGGTGCCAGAGGACATGGTGCAGAGCCAGCAGCCCTCCCTGGCACGAGATGGCTGACACGGTGCCAGAGGACATGGTGCAGAGCCAGCAGCCCTCCCTGGCACACCTCTCTCCGTTTTCACATCAGCATCAGCAGATCCCCGCCCTTGTCTGTTAGGGGAAGGTTAAATCGAACCCCCTGGGGGACGCCATGCATGTCACTGAGACTCTAAAGTCCGTGTCCACTCAGAGGTCAGGCCCTGAGGAAGACCCCGGGACGTAGACCAAGATACCGCCACACCTCTCTAAGACTCCCAGCCCTGATCAAAGCCTGCCCAGGAATGATGTTTCAGAACTCCTATACAGAACTGAAATCTGCAATATAAACAGACAGCAGAAAACCACAGACAACATCCTCAATTTCACCTTCTTGGGATCCCACTAAGAGGACAGGAGGGGGTTAGTCATTCAGCTGAGCAGTTAAAAAGCCTGCATCCCAGGATTCCATGCCGGCCTCCAGCTGCAGACTCCACTTTCCTGATGGTGTACACCCTGGGAGGTAGCAGGTGATGACCATCCAGGGTGATGAGGACTGAGCTCCTGGCTGCCAGCTTCCACCAAGGCCCAACCCTGGCCAGCCCAGGCAGCTCCCGTCAAACAAGCAAATACATGCCCAGAGATCCCCTGGCTTGTCCACACAGACATCTACTAAGGAATACAGCTCCAGGCTGGGCTGGGCTTTTCCACAACTGCAAAAGCCAAGGGGGCCGGCCTGCAATGAGTGCTAATTAACGTAGGTCAGAGAGTCCTTTTCTAGCAGGTGAATTTCCCATCACAGGTGAAGTGGATTTCTTTGCAGTTTAGGAGAACAAATCTGAAGGCTTGGGTCCAGAGCAGTGTCCTAGTGGCTAAAGTCCTTGCCTTGCATTTACCAGGACCCCATATGACACCGGTTCATGTCCTGGCTGCTTTACTTCCCATCCAGCTCCCTGCCTGTGGCCTAGGAAAGCAGTCGAGGACGGCCCAAAGCTTTGGGATCCTGCACCCGTGTAGGAGACTTGGAAGAAGCTCCTGACTTTTTGTTTCGGATCAGCACAGCTCTAACCGTTGCATTCACTTGAGGAGTGAATCAGTAGACGGAAGCCGTTCCTCTCTGTCTCTCCTCCTCTCTGTATATCTGACTTGCCCGTAAACATTTTTCAAAAATCGAAGAAATAAGAAAGCATTCGTTTGTCAGCCCGCCTTAACTGCTGGTTCAGTGACAGGACGGTGAAAGCCAACCAAGCCGCTGACCCTCGGGAAGCTACGGCCTTTCTGTGGGATTTCCCTAGGGTCCTCAGAAAGGCAGCGACTGTGCTGGGAGGCCAGGCCCTTGCAGAGGACAGTCAGGGTCACATGAGCCTCAGCTGTGGTACTTAGCCGCCTGTGACCTCGAATGCTGCCTTGTTTCCTTATCCACACAAGTGATCCTAAAGGTGGAAAGGGTCTGGCACATCACCTGATAATAAATATTCTCTTTTCAATTCCTAGATTTTGCCAAGATGCCATCTCTCCCGCTGCGTCCACAGTGCAAAATGTCAACACGCAGCAGGAGGCGCAGGCGCGCGCAACGAGTCCTCGCGCGCGCGCGCGCACGTCCGTGGTCACGGGCGCCGTCCCGCGTCCCGGCGCCCGAGCCCGCGCCTGCGTAGAGGCGCCGCCCGAAGTTTGTTGTTTGTTTGTGGGGTGACCCCGTGTCCCCGAGCGCTGGTGGCGGCGGCGGGACGGGGCCGGGGTGCCGCCATGGCGGTGCGGCAGGCGCTGGGCCGGGGCCTGCAGCTGGGCCGCGCGCTGCTCCTGCGCTTCGCGGCCAAGCCTGGCCCGGCCTACTGCTGGGGGCGGCCCGGCCCGGTGACCGCCTGGGGTCGCCTGGAGCGCCCGGGCCGGGCCGCGGCACCCGGCCTGCAGCCGCGCAGGGTCGGGTGGAGGCTTCCCGACCGCTACCGCTTCTTCCGCCAGTCGGTGGCGGGACTGGCGGCGCGGCTGCAGAGGCAGTTCATGATGCGGGCCCGGGGCGGCGCGGGTCCTGGAGGCCGGGCCGTCTTTCTGGCCTTCGGGCTGGGCCTGGGCCTCATTGAGGAGAAACAGGCGGAGAGCCGGCGAGCGGCCACGGCCTGTCAGGAGATCCAGGTGAGCGGAGCTGTGGGCCCCGTGGACCTCGGGTGGGCCTCGGGCCGGGCGGGGGCGGGCTGGGGGTGTGGCCGGGGCAGGACGAGGAGCGGGGACAGGTTGGAGTGGCACTAGAAATGGGGCGGTCCCGGGGACAGACCCCTGAGCCGGGGATGGAGGCGTGGCGGTGAGTGAGATACCAGGTGGATGAGGGCACGGTGGAGGAGTCGGAGACGGGACTGGCACCTTCCACTTCCTTACTCGCACTGCGAGTTTTGGAAGATTGGCGCTTCCCAGTTGTGGTTCCAGTTGTGTGCGTTTTCTAAACTCCGAAGACAAGTACATCATTACATTCTTATCTCTGGAGGTAGATTCCATCCCCGTGCTGTGGAAAATACTCAGGCCAAGTGACTTGCGCAAAGTGACACAGCTGACGAATGCCCCACCCCAAGGTCCCGCTCCAAAGCCTGTTCCCTTGGCCAAGGATCCAGGCCTTCTTGGGACTGGCCACTTAGTGGCTGAGAATGGTGAGGGCAAGCACCAGAGGTGCATGTCAGTTAACCTGGCCGCTGAAGCCCACCAGAGGACCCCCGGGACTTGCAGATGAGTGAAGGAAAGTCCTGGTCCTGCTCAGCCGGAGCCTGCGCTGATCAGGGCTCCCTGGCACGCACAGCTAACGGGCTGTGTGCATCCAGGGAGGAGCTGATCCTAAGGCTTCTGCTCGCTGGAGGTGGCAGGTGTCCATCTGCCAAGGAAGCAGGCCTGGGCTGGAAGGAGCTGATGCTGCAGTCCACTCTGGGCTGGCCGAATCCCTCTTTCTTGTGGGGCTTGGAACCAAGCGCTGTGTTAGTGTTGGAGAGGTGTAGCGGTACCAGACGGCGTGACTGACCCCAGGGCACAGCAGCCAGAGGACCGGCCAGTAGCTTTCATGTCTCCTGCTTTCCAACCCAGTTCCTGTCCCTCAGTGCCACAGCTTGTCGTCTTTGTGTCCTCAGTAGTTTGGGGTGACAGGTGACATCCTGTCCCCAGCTCCTGTCTTTGCCTTCTCCACAAGCTGGCAGAAGCCACTGGTGAGAAATCTTGCTTGAACTGAAAGAGGCTTTGTGTTCTGAGGGAATGGCCCTCCTAGGCTGACATTCACACACTCTGCTGGGCTTTCCAGTGCTTACCTAGGTGCCAGTTAATTCATATTACAAAATACAGGTGTTTGCTTTCTTTTGAACAGGAGCCTCAGATGGGGCGGGCATCATTTGCAATGTCCACATCCAGTTTGGAGTGTCAGTTTGAGTTCCAGCTTCCACATTTTGGATCCAGCTTCCTATCCAGGCCTGCTGGGAGGTAGCATAGGATGGCTCAGGTTACTGGGCCCCTGTCCTGGGTAGAATTTCAGTCTCTTGGCTTCTGCTTAGCCCATCTCCACTGGGTGTGGGCATTCAGGGAGCAGCCAGTGGATGGAGGAAGAGAGCTCTCTGTCATTTTGCCCATCGGGTGGGAAAAATGCATTTTAGAATTTTTAAAAAGATTGAGTTACCTGGAATGTGAACTTGCACAGCAGTGAAGGTGGTACTTGGCATGCCCTCATCCTGGAGTTTGAGCCCTGGCTGCCCCCCCTTTTTTTTATTGATTGCATTGCATTATGTGACACAGTGTTATGGGCACTAGGATTCCCCCCAACCCTCCCCTAACCCTCTCCCCATGGTGGATTTCTCCACCTTGCTGTGTTACCACAGTTCAAATTCAGTTGAGGTTCTTTCATTGAAAGTATTTACCAAGCATAAAGTCCAATGTCTTATTATCCTAGTGGGTTCAACGATTTCTTGGTGAGACCATCTCTGGTCTGAAGGTAAAGCCAGCAAAGTATCATCCCAATCAATTAAAGGCCCCTACCTCACATCAACAGCCATTTACAACCTTATGGTATTAATTGACATGGTATTGATTAATAGTATGTTGATAGGAAAATGCGGTTGCTTAACTACATCCTGTGACTTCTTCATAGACATTTCAAGTTTGGTTTATATTCACCCTGATTCCATACAGTTATCAGTTAAGGTACAGTACATTTTTTTTAGGATGGGTGTGCAGAGAAATCCCCCATACCCCGGTGAGGCATAACTAATCTTTGTGTCCCATCTAATGAGGCATGTATGGGTCCACGCTGGTCGTTTCCTGTCTGATTCTAAGCTTTCCATGTTGTTGTCTGTCCATTCTAGATTTTTTGTCTGTTTGTATATTTGTTTGTTTGTTTTTAAATATTTATTTCATTTTTATTGGAAAGTCAGATATACAGAGAGGAGGAGAGACAGAGAGGAAGATCTTCATCCAATGATTCACTCCCCAAGTGAGCGCAACGGCCAATGCTATGCTGATCCGAAGCCAGGAGCCAGGAACTTCTTCCAGGTATTCCGCGTAGGTGCAGGGTCCCCAAGGCTTTGGGCCATCCTTGACTGCTTTCCCAGGCCACAAGCAGGGAGCTGGATGGGAAGTGGAGCTGCTGGGATTAGAATCGGTGCCCATATGGGATCCCGGCGCGTTCAAGGTGAGGACTTAGCTGCTAGGCCATGCCACCGGGCCCTGTTTGTTTGTTTTGAGGGGTTACTGGAACAATCCTAATGGTCACCGCGAAAGAGGGTAGGCACCCAGGCTAGGACCAGAGAGAGCTCGCCTCCCTAGTCCTGAAGGAAGTTTATTATTCTTCTGTTTCTGCAGATCGCTCAGGGCTCCTGGCCGTCGTTCCGATGGCGCTGGTTTGTGCACTGCAGAGTTTGGACTTCTTCCATCCCCTGTGGAGGCTCCAGATGGGGGTGGGTGACCTCAGAGTTCTCGGCCTCCAAAGGCACTTCTATTCCCTGTGGTTGGGATGTAGTCCTTGGTGTCCGTGTTGATGGTCCTTGGTGAGGATCTGGGAGTCTTCAGGGTTGGGATGTGAGCCTCCTCCTGACCCCCTGCTCCATACGCATGTCCTCCTGTTAAGAGGCTTTCAGGGTCGCTCCCAATTCCCCCTTATGCCTGTGTAGCTTTACTATTGTCTAGTGCCAACTCGAGTCTCTTGTCTATGGGTTATCAGATTTGATCCTGATAGGCTATATTTCACGTCTTCCCCTCACTTTTTAGGGAGATGGAAGATTTCTCTGCATTCCCTCCCCATTATGGAGTAACATGGGATATTAAGAGTGTTTTAGGTTTTACAGTTCTTTGATGTAGATCATAAGCATTCTGACTCACATCGATTGTTGTATTATAGGTTACAATGCATTGTCTTATTGCATTGGATACATGTTGTCAGAGGTTGCAATAATGTTACAATGTATTGGTATTATTTTCCAGATTAACAACTTTTCGTCTCAGATTAAGGCAAACATGTGGTATTTAATCTTTTGGGATTGGTTCATTTCTCTTAGCATAATGGATTCCAGTTGGGCCCATTTGGCCACAAAGAACTGCATTTCATTTTTTTTTTTTGATAGCTGAGTAGTATTCCATGGAGTATATGAACCATAGCTTTCTTATCCAGTCCTCTGTTGATGGGCATTTCGGTTGCTTCCAGGTTTTCACAATTATTGATTGTGCTGCTATAAACATAGGGGTGCATGTTGGTTTCTCATAAAACAGGTGTTTTGGATATATTCCTAGGAGCGCTATTGCTGGGTCGTATGGTATGCTGATTTTCAATTGTTCAGTATCCTCCATACTGATTTCCATAGAGGCTGTACAAGTTTGCAGTCCCACCAACAGTGGAGTAGGGTTCCCTTTTCCCCACATCCTCGCCAGCAAGTGTTAGTGGTGTTTTTTTGTGTGTGTGCCATCCTTTCTGGCTGCCCCATTTTTGATTCATTTCCCAGCACCCTATGAGGGTGCCATGTAGCATGCTTATGTCTTTATTACCGGAGCGGCAACTGGAGTCACCCAGCTCATGGGTGGTGGAGCCATTATCTGCACCTTGCCTGGCTCGGGGTGGGGGAGGTGAGTCTACTTTTTAACCATCTCCTGTCCAGTGAGGAGGCCTGTAGATCACACTTTCCTTGCCCAGACCTTGCCAGTTAGAAAGACCATGAGAGTGGAAGAGACACAACAGCCAAGGGCGGCCCAGCAGCAACGGGAGCTGCAGCACACAGCCCCGTTCTGCGAGCAGGGCCGCAGAGGAGCCTGCGAGGAACATCTCACCTGCACAAGGCTGACAGAGCTTAAGAATGGCTCCTTCTAATACGCTGGGGAAAGCAGCAGAGGGTGGCCCATGCGCTTGGGCTGTGTACCCAAGAGAGACCTAGAAGGAGCCCTTTAAAATTGCTTTTGTTTCCAAATTGCCATTATAGTACTGTGATTCCATGTGGTGTCCAACTGGGGTAGAACAGCGGCTGCTGCCTTTAAGTGGCAATGAGTGACAAACAACCCAGACGGACAGGAGGCAGAGGGCCCAAGTGCAGATTCTGTTGGGGAGAGTTGACAGCGAGTCAGCGTGTGCAGGGGTACGGGAGGCACACGCGAAGGCAGGGTGCATCACATTGCTCACACGGCCAGAACTACTGATGTCACGTGGCTGCACCCCAGCTGCTGCTGAGAGCACGTGATGGCGGCCAGGCCGGCAGTTTATCTTCCAGGCAGCACGGATTGACCGTGCAAGCCAGCAGCTGCAGTCTCGGAGGTTCACCTGGAGGAGGTTCCTACCGAGACACACACAGTCAGCCAATGTGGAAAGCTGGTGGCTCCTCAAAAAATCCAAAACAGACTTACCAGGGAACCCCACACTGCACTGCTGTTATTTTTATTGGAAAGGCAGATTTACAGAGGAGAGACAACGATCTTCCATTTGCTGGTTCACTCCCCCAAATGGCTGCCACAGCCATTGCTGAGCTGATTTGAAGCCAGGAGCTTCCTCTGCGTCTCCCACGCAGGTACAGGGTCCCAAGGCTTTGGGCCGTCCTCTACTATGTTCCCAGGCCACAAGCAGGGAGCAGGATGGGAGGCAGAGCAGCCGGGACAGGAACTGGCACCCATAACCCATATGGGATGCTGGTTCTTGCAGACAGAGGATTAGCCAGTTGAGCCATTGTGCCAGCCTCCCACAACCGCACTTCGGTGTAGCAGAAAGAGTTGGAAGCTGGACCAGGAACACATGCTCGGACATCCTTGTTCACAGCAGCATTATTGATACAACCAAAAGGCAGAGGCAATCCAAGTGTCCAGATAAATGGACAGATAGAATGTGGTCCATGCCTTGTGGTCCAAGGCAGTGTATCAGGCCGGTGTTGAAGCACAGTGGGTTAAGTTGCCAGTTGTAATGTTGAAATCCCATGTGGGTACTTAGTCGGTCCTGGCTGCTCCTCTACTGATGCAGCTGTTTGCTGATGGCGGGGGGAAAGTGGCGGAGGCTGGCCCCAGTGCCTAGACCCCTCCACTCACATGGGAGACCCGGAAGAAGTTCCTAGCTGCTGTCTAGCTCAGCCCTGGTCGTTGCAGTCATTTGAGAAGTGAACCAGCAGATGGAAGACCTTTCTCTGTCTCTCCCTTTCTTTGTAACTACCTTTCAAATAAAACAAATCTCTCTCTTTTTTTAAGAGATTTATTTATTTTTTATTGGAAAGGCAGATATACAGAGAGGAGGAGAGACAAGAGGAAGAGCTTCCATCCACTGGTTTATTCCCCAAGTGACCGCAATGACCAGTGCTGTGCTGATCCGAAGCCAGGAGCCAGGAGCTCTTCCAGGTCTCCCATGCAGGTGCAGGGTCTCATGGCTTTGGGCCATCCTCGACTGCTTTCCCAGGCCACAGGCAGGGAAGTGGATGGGAAGTGGGGCCGCTGGGTTTAGAAGCAGAACCTATATGGGATCCTGGCGCGTTCAAGGCAAGGACTTTAACTACTATGCTATCGCACCAGGCCCTAAGTGAAATAAATCTTTTAAAAGCAAAGGAAAAATTAGAGCCTGGGTGAGCCAAGAAATGGCAGCACTGCTACCTGCCGCTGTGAGAGCCAGCAGGTGTGCTGTCCCTCCCAGCGCCGCACTGTGTGGCAGCCATCTCACTGCCTGTCCCTGTCAGTGCCCTGTCCTCCTGTCTCCCTTCTGAACACAGTGGCCCACGAGACGCCCAAGAAGCAGGAACAGGCAGGCAGGATGGAGTGAGCTCCCCGTGGTTTCTACTGAGCACTCGTTCCTGGCAGCCTGGACCACGGGAGGCGGAGGGAGGCAGAGCACTGTGTGCCCCGAGGGACTCACTAGTCCTGACCTTGCCCTTGATCCACAGCTTGCTATGATGGTCTGTGTCTGACACTGCCTCCTCCCCCTCCTCCTTCCCTTCCCTGGGGCCTCCCTGACTGCTGTCACATGGTGCACTCTTTCCTCGCAGGCCATTTTCACCCAGAAAAGTAAGCTGGGAGCTGACCCCCTGGATGGCAGGCGCTGGCAGGGCTTCCGGCTGGAGGAGTACCTGATCGGGCAGTCCATTGGCAAGGGCTGCAGTGCCGCTGTGTACGAAGCCACCGTGGCTGCGTTGCGTGTGAACCTGGAGGAGGCAGAAGGCACCAGGCTTCCCGGGAGAGGCACAGAGCTCACTACGGCAGGAACGACCGAGATGTCCGGCCCAGGGGCCCCCCACTTTCCCTTGGCCATCAAGATGATGTGGAACATCTCGGTAAGCACCATTGCCCCAAGTGCTGAGCCGAGAGGGCCCCGGGGAGGGCATCCAGGAGGTTGTTAGCAAACCACACAGACCTCACGGGACCAGTGCCTGTGGAGCACGCCTTCCTTGCCTGCTGGCTGTGACACGGCCACGATCACCTGGGGATCGGCAGCTCAGCCTTGAAACTGCTCCTAGGAGATGCCAGTGTGGGGGTCTGGGGCCACCCTGAGCAGCGAGCATGAGTCCCTTGCAGCCCAACACTCCTGCCATCCCCTCCCTCCTGTGCCCATCCTGCTAGAGAGGAGGTAGGCTCCTCCTCTTTTCCTGCCCCTCACACCCCCACCTCTCGCTGGAGGGCAGCTCTCAGAAGGACCAGTGCTTTGGGAAGTGGCAGAGTACTCCCCAGCCTTAAGGCCACAGATGATTGCACACCTAGCTGGGTTAATAGCTGAGAAGTTGCCAACCCCTTTACCTGTGGCAGAGCCACCAGGCGGGGACATCACCCTGGTTGGGGTGGGGCTTCAGTCCCGGCTGCTGGCCGACTGGTGGTCCCCGTGGGCCTCCTCGGTCCTGAGAGCTGTTGATAAAGAAATGAAGGAGACCACCTGCTCCTGCTCCCTTTGGGTTTTGTTGCTTTGGGGAATCAACAAAGGCTGTTCTGTAGCTCAGCACCCTCAGCCAGAGGGGAGCTGGGGGAGCCTAGCAAAGGGGTCCCAGTACCCGTCTGGCAGTGACCGCAGGCGTCCGGCAGGAGGAGTGACCCTAGCCCAGCCCATCTGTTACAGAAGGTTTCAAGTTGGGACACAGGGTTGTGGCACAGTGGTTTAGCTGCTACCTACAAGACCAGCATCCCATCTGAGTGCCAGTGTCAGTTCCAGTCGCGGCTGCTTCACCTCGGATCAGCCTTCCACTAATGTGCCTAGGAAAGCAGCAGCAGGTGGAGACCTGGGTGGGGTTCCATATCCTTGGCTTTGGCCTGGTCCAGCCCTGGCCATCATGGGGAATGAACCAGCAGATGTAGCTCTTCTTTCTGTCTCCCCCTTCTCTATAACTCTCTGCGTCTCAGTTTTTTACAAAAGTTTTAAAACTAGTGGTGGTTGTACGTATTTGCAGGCCACAGTGTGGCATTTCAGAGGGGCTGTTGAGATCAGCCCATCAGCACATACTGACAGGCCCAGGCAGGGAGCATGGCCCCTTCTCCAACATGGCTTCCCACTGGCAGGCTGGGAGCAGCTTCCTGGCGCTTGCTCTTGTAACAGATACAGGTTACTATACGGCAGAGTCTCCACTAGGTGGCGTGGCGATAGGAACTTAGTCCTGCAGCTTCACATCCTACCCTCCCCTGTCTGGTCACCTAAGGGCTGGAAGTGTGGGCAGCGTCCCTGGGGCTTCCAGCAGTAGCCAAGCTGGCCTTCCCACCTCCTATAGGTCACCTGAGCTTGAAAGTGTCTCTTCTGCGACACCCTGGTCCTCTCTGCTTGTGTTGTAGGCGGGCTCTTCCAGCGAGGCCATCTTCAGGACTATGAGCCAGGAGCTCGTTCCAGCCAGCCGTGTGGCCCTGGCCGGGGAGTACGGAGCCGTTGTTCATAGGTAAGTGTCCCGGCCCACCAGGCTGACTGTTGTCGGAGAGCAGAATCGTCGCCTGTGTCCGCAGCACACCCAGCACCATGCCTGGTGGGACATGCAGCGCATGGATGTTGACTGAATAATGTGGATCTTCAGGAGGGGGAGAGTTTAGCTTGGGAGCAGCTACAGATCTTCTGGCCCCAGCTGGTGAAGCAAATGGCAAATTCACATCGAAGAGGCCACCCCAAAACGCCGGTTCCGAGAATAGGGGAAATTGCCGAGTTCCAGGAGTCTTCCTTAGTGGTGTGCAGATGCGGCGCCACCTAGCAGCGACAGCCGTGCCATCTCCAGGGGCTGCTGCCTTCCCTGGTGGCGCAGGGGATGGTGACTGCTGTGTTCTTCAAGAGTCCTCCATGTGGGCAGTGCCCAGCAAGCACAGAACAGAGCATGGTGTGGGCAGTGCTGGGATGTGTCTGCTCAGATGCCCTGGGCAGCCCGGGAGAGGCCTGTGTGCCCACTGCAGGGGCCCGGGCCACTCAGAGGTGCCGCCCAGTTGCTTTTGGAGGACCAGCAGCATTTCCGGAGGTCTAGACAGAGCTGTTCTCGGTGGAGGAGGGAGGGAGCGGATGGTGGCCCGAGGACAGTGGCCTGTGGGACAGGCCAAAACAGCTCTGTGTCTCCGGCTGGTGCCAGGATGCCTGCTCTCACTCAGTGGCTTGCTGGGCACTGACGGGCGGACTGCCTCAGCGTCCTGTCAGATGGAGTAAGTCAGGAACTGAAGGGAATAAGCACGGAAAGCCCCACCATGGCGTGGAAGGTTCCAGGCACTGGGTCCCAGCTGATACACCCCTCCCCCGCCCCCTCTGAGCAGAATAGTGGATGCTGGGAAGTCAGCTGCTCTGAGGCTGAATCGGACTTCATGTGCTATCGGGCACCCCAGCCCTACCCCCTAGGCTCCCTTTGCATTTTCTTTTAAAGATTAATTAACCTAAGATTTATTTATTTTTATTGGAAAGACAGATTTACAAAGAAAAAGATCTTCCATCTGCTGGTTCACTCCCCAGATGGTTGCAACAGCCAGAGCTGAGCTGACAGCCAGGAGTTGCCTCCAGTTCGCCCACATGGGTGCAGGGGCCCAAAAACTTGGGCCATCCTCTGCTGTTTTTCCCAGTCCATAAACAGGGACCTGGATCAGAAGTAGAATAGACTAGAACCAGTGCCCTGTGGGAAGCCAGCATTGGCAGGTAGAGGATTAGCCTGTTGAGCCACTGCACCCAGTTTGCTTATTTTTTGAAAATCAGAGTTACAGAGTTACAGGCCATCTGCTGCTGCTTTCCTGAGCCTTGGGCAGGGAGCTGAATCAGATGTGGAGCAATCAGAACAGGAACTGGTGCCCATGCTGTTGGCCAGTGCCACAGGTGGCAGCCTTAGCCGCCGTAACACCAGCCTCTCAGCGTCTAGTCTGACATGCGGACTCTTGATTGGCAGCTGTGCTGCTGTGCCGAGGGGCTCTGCTTGGCTTACATACACCCGACCACTTGTTCCATGTCTGCGGAGTGACGGACAGCTGTGCAGGTGGCACTGGCTAACTGCTGGTGCCACCTTCACTTCTCCTTTCCTGCTGCACCCTGCTGTGCTGCCTCCACACTGCGCTGCCCAGCTCCTGACCCTGCAGCTCTGGGCCACCAGCCCCAGGGCCACACGCCCCGGGCAGGGCAGGTGTCCAGCTGGTCTCGGCTCTGCTCCATTCTCCCCTTTGTACCATTAGCATCCTTGTTTCTTTTCCTGGTGGCTCTTCTGTCTGCCGACGTTGGTTTACTCCCCTCTGCCTTCCTGTGCCCTGGTAAAGGCTGTGGTTTCCTTTCCACTTGGCTCTGTCACGGCCTGGCCGGGCTCTTGGTTCACGCACCCTTCGCTAGGTCTCTGCTGTTATTGTAGGCTCATTGCCCTTGGGGCTAGCAGGCAGGGCCACACTAGCCAGCATGTGGGCAGGGCTTCCTGGGGCAGGTGTGGCAGGGCGGGCAGGTGATGTCCCTGCTCCTGATGTGTCTATTCCCATCATTCTTCACAAAAAGGCGATGCTGAGACCTGAGCTGCCCTTGACCATCGCACAGCCCTGTCCCGCACAGCCATGGCCCTGCGCTGGGAGGACCCCTTCCCGGGAGATCCCTGTGAATAGGTTGTGACTCCACAGCCAGCTCCTTGTCTGTACCTCCTAGGCCCAGTGTGACTCACCACTTTGCGGCTGACCTTGAGCCCTGAGAAGATGAGGCACTTGGCCCGAGACTGCCTAGGGGTGAGCCTGGGGTTCACTGCCAGGCCGACAGACTCTGACTGTGCTTCCCTATTCCCTGTGTTCTGACCAGGGGATAGAGAGACAGGTAGGACAGGGCTGTGTGACGGTCAAGGGCAGTTATCACCTGTGCTCCCACCATCATGGTACACAAGAAATCTACCGAAATATTCAGCAGACAGCTGTCGGCCAGTACTCATTGTGACTTAGCCCCATACATTTGTTCCATTTGACTGACAGAAAGACCAAGGGGAGCCCCAAGCAGCTGGCCCCTCATCCCAACATCATCCGCGTTTTCCGCGCCTTCACCTCGTCTGTGCCGCTGCTGCCAGGGGCCCTGGTGGACTACCCCGATGTGCTGCCCCCTCGCCTCCACCCTCAGGGCCTGGGCCATGGCCACACGCTGTTCCTCGTGATGAAAAAGTGAGTGGTGGGCACAGCAGGCCCTGGGCTTGCTTGGCCTCCCCGCACTCGGGAGTGCCCTCAACCCAGGCCTCCCCCGGACCTGACCGGCTGTGCTAAGGGTCTGTGCTGCCCCGAGGGTGGGTTCCCTTCAGGATGCTGATTGTGAAAGAAACCCCTCTTCTTCTGGAACCTTGTTCTCACCCAGTGCCCCGCCCAGTGATGAGCGCCTCTGATCCGGGGCTGGCCTCTGCTTTTACCTAAAGGCAGCTGCCCTGCCTCACCTCCATCTGCCCAGTGTGGCTGTGGGGTGTGTTAGCGTGTCACGTGGGGTGAGGGACAGAAAGGATTGCACGGGGAAATGAGATCAGAAGTTTCGTAGTGGGGAGAGGAAGGCATGGTCCAACAGTGACAGTGTGGGAACCAGAGGTTCTGTGCCCTCCCGCCAGCTACCCCTGCACCCTGCGTCAGTACCTGCGCGAGAATACCCCCAGCCCCCGCCTGGCCATGGTGATGACCCTGCAGTTGCTGGAGGGCGTGGCTCACCTGGTGCAGCAGGGCATCGCGCACAGAGACCTGAAGTCGGACAACATTCTTGTGGAGCTGGACGCAGGTGGGTGCCCTCTGTGTCCTCAGGGTTCCCTGGCTACGCTAGAAGCCACGGGCATCCCCCATACTTGTCACTGGGCCTCGTGAGGCCCTCTTATTCATGTCTTGCTGGTGGCTTTGTAGGGCCCTAGGAGGGCCTCTCGGGGGGCCGTAGGGCAAGACGCTGAGCCACTGGCCTCGGCCTGTTTCTCCGCAGATGGCTGTCCCTGGCTGGTGATCACCGACTTTGGCTGCTGCCTGGCTGATGAACGCATTGGCCTGCGACTGCCTTTCCCCAGCTGGTACGTGGATCGGGGCGGCAACGGCTGCCTGATGGCCCCGGAGGTGAGTCCTGCTGTCGCTCTGTGCTGCGTTTCTACCACATGGCAGGGCAAGACATGGTCCCTCGGTGTGTTTCCTGCACTTCGTGTCTTCTGACCTGTGATGTATGATGTGGCACAAGTGTATTCCCTGTGCTGTAACATGAGCCCCATAAAGCTCCCAGGAGACATGAGCTTGGTCCCCAAGCCAGTGCTCCCCAAGTCCTGGGCTCCTCGGAGCAGAGGTCAGATCAGCCCGCAGGCTGAGGGACACCCAGGAGCAGAGCAGGTAGGCCTGCCCGCAGCCTGACGTCTCCACGTCTACTTTCTGACCAGGTGTCCATGGCCCATCCGGGCCCCAGGACAGTGATTGACTACAGCAAGGCCGACGCCTGGGCCGTGGGAGCGATTGCCTATGAAATCTTCGGGCTTGCCAATCCCTTTTACGGCCAGGGCAGGGCCCGCCTCGAGAGCCGCAGTTACCTGGAGACGCAGCTGCCTGCTCTCCCTCGGTCAGTGCCTCCGGATGCCAGACAGCTCTTGAGGTCCCTGCTCCAGCGAGAGCCCCGCAAGGTGAGGGGGCCCTGGCTGGGTGGAAGCCCCGGCGTATTCCCAAGTGAAGGACAGGTTGGGACCAGCACCCTGGGGACACTCAGAGGCTCCATAGGCCACAGGCAAAGGCCAGCTGCACAGAACACGAAGTAGATTTTGGCATAAGTAGTAGTGGGGGAACAAGTCACCAAACATCAGAATTCTAGAATTTGTTTTTAGAATTTTTTTTTTATTGATTACATTGCATTATGTGACACAGTTTTATAGGCACTGGGATTCTTCCCTCCCCACCCCATAACCCGCCCTCCCCCCCCCATGGTGGATTCTTCTTGCAAGAATTCTAGAATTCTAACAGTCCAACCTTTCTTGGCTTTTTTAGTTGCTGAAAAGCTGCTCAGGGCGGGGTGGAGGTGGGGCAGGTTGGGCCACCACATCGCATATGACAGAGCTTGGCTTCGGCCCAGGATCCTACACATTTGTTAAGAATTTTTTTTTTTTTTTTTAAGATTTACTTATTTATTGGAAAGGCAGATACACAGAGAGGAGAGACAGAGAGGAAGATCTCCCATCTGATGATTCACTCCCCAAGTGAGCGCAACGGCCGATGCTATGCTGATCCGAAGCCAGGAGCCAGGAACAACTTCTGGGTCTCCCACACGGGTGCAGGGTCCCAAGGCTTTGGGCCGTCCTCGACTGCTTTCCCGGGCCACAAGCAGGGAGCTGGATGGGAAGTGGAGCTGCTGGGATTAGAACTGGCGCCCATATGGGATCCCGGGCGTGTTCAAGGAGAGGACTTTAACCACTAGGCCACGCCGCCGGGCCCGTGGAGTCTTTTTTTCTTTTTGAAATATTTATTTTTATTGGAAAGGCAGATATACAGAGAAGAAGAGAGACAGAGAGGAAGATCTTCCATCCAATGATTCACTCCCCAAGTGACTACAACAGCTGGAGCTTCTTCCCGGTTTTCCACATGGGTGCAGGATCCCAAGGCTTTAGGCTGTCCTCAACTGCTTTCCCAGGCCACAAGCAGGGAGCTGGATGGGAAGTGGGGTAGCCAGGACATGAGCCAGCGCCCATATGGGATCCTGGTGAAGATTTAGCTGCTGAGCCATTGTACCAGGCTCCCTTCAGAATTACTTTTAAAAAGATTTGGAGGGCCTGGCATGGTAGCCTAGTGGCTGGAGTCCTCACCTTGTATGCACCAGGATCCCATATTGGCGCCGGCTTGTGTCTTGGCAGCCCTACTTCCCATCGTGCTTCCTGCTTGTGGCCTGGGAAAGTGATTGAAGGTAGCCTGGAGCCTTGAGACCCTGCACCCACGTGGAAGTCTGGAGGAGGCTGCCGACTCCTAGCTCCTGGCTTCACATTGGCTTGGCTCTGGCCATTTTGGCCACTTGGTGAGTGAATCATTGGACAAAGATCTTTTCTCTTTGTCTCTTTACCTCTCGGTGTCTGACTTTCCAATAAAAATAAATCTTAAAAAAAAAAATCAGGGGACCAGCAAAGCGACGCAGCAGGTTAAGCCTTTGCCCATGACACTAGCATCCTATAGGAGATAGAGTCCCAGCTGCTCCACCTCTAACCCAGATCACTGCCACATGCCTGGGACAGCAGGAGAAGGTGGCCCAACTACTTGCTACCCACGTGGGAGGCCTGAATCAAGTGCCGGGCTCCTGGCTGGCCTAGATGTTCGGAGCCTCAGCTTCCCTTCTCCCACTTCCCTTGTAGAGGCCATCTGCCCGAGTTGCTGCAAATGTGCTGCATTTAAGCCTCTGGGGGGAGCATCTTCTAGCCCTGAAGAACCTGGAGCTGGACAAGATGGTGGGCTGGCTCCTCCAGCAGTCAGCCGTCGCCCTGCTGACCAACAGGCTTGCAGAGAGGAGCTGCGTGGAGACAAAGATGAAGATGCTGTTTCTGGCCAACCTGGAGTGTGACGCGCTGTGCCAGGCAGCCCTGCTGCTGCGTGCATGGCGGGCAGCCCCGGGGCAGCTCTGCACATAACTGGGAACGACTAAAGCAGTGGGCAGCACCTGTGTGTGATGGTCTGTGCATGCTGAGGGTGGGCCGTGTGAGCAGGCAGGAGACAGAGACAGGAGTCGGAGACAGGATGGCTGGGGGCTGGGCAGCCGAAAGGGAGGCCCAGGGCTAGGGGCAGGGCAGGGCAGGGGTTAAGTTCATGTGATTGGAAAGGTAAGCCATGCAGGCCTGTTCTGGTACCATGACGACACTGCTCTCCATCAGCTGTGTTCACCGTGAAAGCGAGTTCACCGTGATGTTGCAGCTACTGCATCCTTGTAGCACTGAAGCAGCCCGAACAGATGAACAGCTAGGCCTGTGTTCTGACAAAGCTTTGTGAGCACAGAGATCTGGCTTTATGTGTCACTGTCCATCTTTTTAAGCGTCTGAAAAAGTAAATAATCTTGAGCTCGCGGGTCATATACAGTCAGCCCAAAGGCCACAGTAAAACACACGGCCTGAATGGCAGCTCGGCACCAGGTCCCTGTCAGCGGTAATGCTGCTGATCTGAGTATCCCCGGACTAAACCCAAAGGGACGTGCCGCTGCACCAGGCAGCGACCCGGGTGAGGCCACCAACCCAGGCCCCACCTGAAGCGCGCTGTCACTAGGCCTGCAGACCCTGCCGGCCAAGCTGCCAGGTGTGGCAGGGCTGAGGGCTTAGCCTGCATGCCCTGCCAGGAGGGATCCTGGCTGACACTGGCCCAGGGGAGCAGGCATTGGGCCGTGGCGCCATCGTCACAGGCCACCGGGGCAGAGGGGAGCGCTTGCACAAGTCTCTATTCAGGTGTCAGCTGGAGAAGCGCCACAGGAGGCCTGCGGGGTCTGCAGGGCGGGGGACTGCGCGCAGCCATGCTTCTCTACGGCCCGGGAGAGTCCAAGAGCACCTCACCACAGAACTGATCCAGCCAGCGAGTGAGCACCTGAAAGCTACTGCTGTGGTATTATCAACATGCTGATTGCCCTTCTGATTAACATTTCCTGCAGGAATTGTGAAAAATTAAATGCAAATTACAACCGCAGAATGTCAATGTGCCTGGAACTGAACACTGACTTTCATCCTTAGACCTGAAATACGAGAAGGTTTGGAGGGGAAGGTTTCAGTTTATGTGCTTCTCAGGACTCAGGTTAACACCTGAGCCAGGTGGACGTGAAGGTCAAGCTCAACCATGCCAGCGGCCGTCATCCGGCCTGTGCCTGGCATCTCCTGAGCGGTGAGGGCAGTCCCTCTGGGTTAGGGAACACAGCTGTCTTAGCAGCCATGAAAGAACCTGCAACTTCTGACTCAGTCCCCGGCAGGAGGCGCCCCACATCAAGAAGCATGACAGATTGGGGCCCTCTGAGGACAAATTTTTTATTTTAGAAATGAATGACCACACACCGTCAAGATGCCACTTAGTAATTGAAGGAGTAAAACTTGACAAAAGATTCCCTGTTCCCACCCCCAGTCCCCATGGCCCATCTCCCACTGAGGTAAGGCTGTGCCACTTGCCCATGGCTTAAAAAAAAATAATAAAACCCGACCCTGGTCCCAGGCCGCAGCCTGTCAGTCCGATTTTTCCTTCTCCTTCATGTGCAAGAAGACGATGCTAAAGATGAAGAGGCCCAGCATCATGGAGAATGCGCTGGCATAGTAGGGATAGGCCGAGGGGATGAAGCGCTCATACTGCGTGTGCTGCAGCGGCCTCACCGACACCTGCAATGGCACAGGAGCACGCGTACAGGCCCTGGCCGCTGGCAAGCCCCAGCGGGCACATGCCTGGCAGAACGCAGGGTCACTGCTTACCTGCGTGGAAGAGTACAGGTGTGTGTAGCCGAGCCGGTTGTAATCCACCTTAAATTGGAACACGCCATAGACGTCGGGCAACTTGAACTGGACGCTGTATTTGCCACCTAGGGAAGAAGCAGCACAGATCCCCGAGGGCGCGTCCAGGGTACGTCTCACGGGCCACCTCCTGCCACCCTCTCGTGGGGATGCCTACCTTTCCTCTTCAGGAAGGTCCTCACAAAAGGATCGATGCGGACAAATTCCAGCTGGATGTCGTCGCCATCAAAGGGAACCCACCTGCCGTTGGAGAGCTGCTCAATCACGATGCTGTACTCCTGGGGGGAGACCAGGGAGCTGTGCTCGTGTCTGCCGCCCGCCCCGGGGCCTCAGCATGGTATTCAGGCCCCCTGCAAGTGACCCAAGCCCCTCGCCACCCCTGAATGGACCAGCCAAGTGTAGCCCCAGGCTGCAGTCCTGCAGGCAGAGGGGGCTAATCCTCACTTCCGCCCCTTTGGCCTGGCACCCGGGCTCGGCAGCCGCTGCAGAGCTGAGCTGAATCAACTGAAGCCCCCAGGGGGTTCTCCCACCCCACAGAGCGCTCACCACCAGGTCAGTGACAGTGTAGGCATTGGGGGGCGAAGTCTCGCCCACCCGGTGATGGGACACAGGCCCCACACGGAGCACTCCCTCCTCCTTGAACACCCAGCGCGATAGGGCCACGGCCAGCTCATAGTTGCCTGTCTGTGGGTACCTGCAGAGGGAAGGAGGGGCTTAGAACCACAGCCAGCATTTTGCTGTGCCTGACAGCCCAGGCTGTTTGACCCACATACCACGACAGAGCTCACTTGGCAGCCCTCTGTCAGCCCCAAGCATCCAGGAGCCACTGTCAGGGCAGAGAACACCACGGGTATGGGTGGTGCTGACTTGCACAATACCATTTTCTAAAAGGACCAAGGGGTTGTGGCCTCAAAACCAGTCTACTACTAAGGGCTAGTAGGAGCGCCAACACCAGCAGCAAAATCTTCCAAACACCTGCAAGCCCGAGGCCTCCAGGGCTCGTTCCCCTTCACGCCTCCCTGGCAGACCCAGGCAGCACCTCCCAGACCATGCCCCCATGCCCGCACCCACCTCTGGGCACCCGGTGTGGCCTTCTGCACGGCTGAGTTGAAGAAGGCGTCGCTGAAGAAGTCCAAGGAGCCACTGAAGATGACGCGGGCATTGTTCCTGGCCTGGAGGCCAGCGATCAGGAGGGTGTTCTTGCCCACGGCGTGCGGGTACTGGCAACATAATGGGGCTGTCACCCAGGCGCAGCCATGGGCCAAGGCAGGACGGTGCAGGACGCACCAGACAAGCCCAGCCCCATCTGGGGAGGAACCTGAAATCCTGATGTCTCCACCCCAACATCCCTCTCACCTGGGTGATAGGCTTATCCGGGAAGAAGGAGTACGAAGTAGACGAGCCCGTCAGGATGTCCAACACCAAAGGATTGTCAGGATCGGCCACCATCCTGTGGGAGCACAGAGAGCCCAGTGGTGCCCAGGAGCCACCAGGAGCCCAAGGACACGAGCCCCAAGGCTTCCCTCCCAGTCCACCTTTCTCCACGGCACTCAGTGCTGTAACAAGGGAATGTGACTGTCTTCCACATGACCCTCCCCTACATCCTCTGGAGGCCCCCAGAGTAAAAGCTGCTTCCCCAGCTGCCTTGGGCTTCTCCCTGCTCACTCACCCAACTCCCCGAAAGAGGATGGGATTCAGAGACGACTTCCCAACAATGGTTGGGGCTTTGAGCAGGTTCTCGGTGTCCGCCACGATGAGCGTGTGCTGCAGAGGGTAAGCAGGGGTCAGGAGAAGGCAGTGCCAAGCCCAAGAGGCCGCCCTGAGAGCCAGCAGGGGACAACCCCGATTACCTGTCCAGGGTCCGAGACATCATAGTTGTGATGGTCAATGACAGCCGTTTTCTCCTCATCAAACTCAATCCCGCACTCACTGCCCAGCTCTCGGAGAGGGTCACCTGCAGATCCAAGAGGTGCGTGGCTGAGCCCCACAAATGTGGGCCTGGGCCAAGCGGGGTCACTTGTCTGCTTCCTCAAGACTTGTCCTCTGCTGGCCAGCCATGTGGCTTCACCGGGCAGGGCTGAGCCCCGAGTGGCCCAAGCCACAGCATGCAGCCACCCTGGGGGCAGTGGGAGTGAGGGAAGGCTGGTATCTGGACTGCCACAGCCACCTCCTGGCCCTTGTTCTCTGCCACTGTGCAGGGAGTTTGCTCTGCACAAAAGCAATTAGCTCACCTTGCCGTCACCTTACCAGGACACACATGTAGAGTAGGGAGTTTAAAAACCTGCCATTTTTACAGATGGACAGCCTGGCCAGATGAGTGACTCGCATGTGGGGTTCACATGCTTTCTCCGTACTTGTGGAGACCTTGGACAATGTCAAGACTTTGGAACACAGAGCTGTCAGACTAGGCTCCCTCAATTTGCTTTTCAGAAGGAGGTGCCATCAAAACAGCATGAAAAGCTACCCAGGCAGAGTGCCCAGCCCATCAAAAGACCCACCCTCACGGCAGGGCAGCAGAGGGGCCATATGTCCAGGGCTCCACAGTTCTGTCATTGACCCCACAGCTACGGCCTGCCCAGCCTGGCCAGTGTAGCCATTTTCCCTGGGAAAGCTCTCCCGCTCCTTGGCAAACTGGTGGAAAGCACCAGAACGACCCAGGTCACACTCACCAATGTCTGAGCTGGCGGCTACCAGGACGCTGCCCCCACCGTCAATGAAGGCGCTAATGGTCTCCACGTTGATGTTGCCGCCAAAATCTGGAAGAACGTACCCAACACAGTGACCCCCAAGACATCTGGTTTTCCAGCTTGGGGTGGGGGCTGCAGTCAGCCACTGGTAATCCCCATGGGAGGGGGATCCCAGACCACTGCACACAGGACAGACACTCCATGTTCCCACAGCATGAGTCAAATAATGGCTCAGATTTTAAACTGCTGATCCAACTTCCTGGACGCATATAAAATGCAGTGATTCCTTGTGCCAATGCTGTGGTGCAGTGGGTACAATGCAATTGTCCCTTAGTATCCATGGGGACATGCCCCACACCCCTGGAAGCCTCATCCGCCATGTAACAGTGAGTCCCTGCACCTTCAGCCGTGCCCCGTGTACTCCAGACACCTCCACACGCTTAGCCTGGTCACCGATGGTGTGTGAACAGTCACACAGCACCATTTCATGACAAGTTTAAAGCCTGTAGACATTCAGTGCAGGTGCAATCTTTGTTTCCAGATATTTCTGACCTGTGAGTGTGGAACCCATGGTCATGGAGAGCCCACCGCCTCCACACAGAAACACTGCATTTTCTCCTCACAGATACAATGTGACTTCAACTCATCCCTGCAGGGTTCACTGGGGTGCTGGTCTCCACTGAAGCCAGGTGAGGTCCCGCCAGTGCCCAGGAGCACCTGCCCCGAGGACAATGCCAGCACTGGCCATCATCGTGCCCGCCGGCCTAGCACGAGGCCCGCAGATTACGTTCAGGACAGCCACAGCACAATTGCTCAGAACACTTTTTTAGCATCATCATCAAAACGATTCGTTCACCTCCAGTTTCTAACTGCCACAGGCTCTGACTGCTGTAACCTGGAGTCAATTCCACCCCAATCACTTCTGCCTCCAGAAAGGCCAAAGACACATGTGCGAGGGCAGTCGGGAGTAACGCAGTGACAGGAGCCCAGGGAAGCACTCCAGTGACAGGGGCTGCCCGTGAAGCCCAAGGCAGGAGTGCCAGGCCTGCCTGCCCCAGCAGGCGCTTCCTCTCACCGCTGCTGTCCCTCCACGCAAACTAATAAACAGGAAGGGAACACCGAGTCCGGAGTTTGCAGGAAAGCACCCCCCTCCCACCATGAACTCCACGGTGCTGGAGGCCCTTCTTCACACCACTGCCTGCGATAGATGGAGGAGACAGCATGGAGAGCGCGCTGAACACGGAACCATCAACCGGCTTATGCGGTTACGATATGCAAACTCCCAGTTCCCGAGAGAGCCCGTCAACCTGCCCCAGATCCCCCCTGCCTCCACCCAGCCATGGTTCACGGCCTTCTCGCCGGGCGAGCTGCACCTGCGGGAGGCCGGGCACCGCAGCCCTTCCCCCGGGGACCTGCCGGGTCAGGAGCGGGCAAGTTCTCCAAGCAACAGCGCCGAGGCCCGGGACCCAGCCCCTGGCTACTCGGAGCAGCAGGAGCCCGGCTCCGGGGGCGTCCCGTGGCCCGTACCTTCCACCGACGGGGAGAAGATGATGAGGTTGTCGAAGAGAAACTCGCCATACTTGATGAGGGACAGGCTGGGGTCGTCGGCGCTCTTGAAGGTGAGTTCAAAGCCCCGATCTGGAAGAGAAGCAAGCGGGGAAACTGAGGCAGAGCGCACGCGGCTGCCCGAGTGGAAGGACAGAGCGCGTTTCCTGGACCCCACGCTCACCCTTAAGGCTCCGGAAGAAAAGCGAGTGCGTCTCCCGCAGGTTGAGGTTGTCCAGCAACACCAGAGTACGGGGACCGCTGGCCAAGGCCGAGCCGAGCAGCAGCAGCAGCAGCCAGGAGAGCGCCCCAGCCCGGGCCATGGTCACCCGCCTGCCAAAGCGCCCAGCGCCCGGACACCGGAAGTGTCCCCTCCTCGACCGTCCAATCGCCGCCCGCGGCCCTGCCTTACCACCCGGAAGTGATCGGGGTGCGCGGGGTCGAACGGCCGCAGCTGCGGGTGCACGGGCCAGGAGCCGGGAAGCCGCCCGGAAGCGCCCCAGTCAGTGACGGAGTCTCTGGCGCCTATTGGCGGAAAGGGCGCGAGGCCCCACCCCTCCGACGGAAAAGGCTCAATCGGAGCGAGCCAGCTCTGCAGCCGCAGCCAATCAGCGAGGTCGAAGCCCCGGGCTCCGTCCCGGTTTTGAACCCGCCGGCTCGGATCCCGTAGTCAGTCCAGTGACCTGCTCCGCTCCTTGCAAGGAATGGCCGCCTCTTCGATCCCCATTAGTCCAGGGCCGAGTCGGGACTGGAGACCGGGCACTGCAATCCTCACGGGGACCTGCCGCGGCCGCGGGGTTCGCCCTGCCCGTCGCGGTGGCCCAGGCTGGGCACTGCGTGGATGAGCTGTGGACGCCTCTTCACCGCCCCCGCCCTGTCTGCCTCTGCCCTCCGCTTCCACGGAACTCAGTTTTCACCAAGCCCTTGGCTCTCCCCACTCTCAAACCTCCAGGGCCAGCCCAAGGCCATTCCCCCCGCCCCAAAGACCCCCGTGCCCCCCTCGGACTTCCTCCGGGCAGCCCTCTGGGCTGGACTCCCAGGCACTCAGCTTTGGGGCCTCCCACCCTGTCACTGCTCATGGCCTTCAGAAGGCGTGTGTTACCCCGTTTCACAGAGGAAGGCAGAGCCTTCGGCCCTCCCCGAGACCCGCCTGGGAGGGCTGGGTGCGTGGGTTCATTTCTGAGTGGACACCCAGACACCCCCCTGAGAGCCGAGGAAGCCCGGGCCTGAGAGCTGGCCCATCTCCTGTAGAGGAAAGGCCCAAAGCTCTGCCCGGAAGGACGCCCCTGTGCAGGTGTCTGCGGGGCCCTGGAAGGCTTCTCTGGCTACAGCACCCTGTTCCCAGACGGGCAGGTGTTTTTCCGCTGCGTGGACAGCCCCGTGCCCTGCGAGTCCAGCTGCCAGCTGACGCACACCTGGACAGCAGCAGTGGCTCAAGTGGTTGGTGGAAAGGCAGATTGAGTTCCAGGCTCCCAGCCTCAGTTAATGCAGATATTTGGGGATAAGATCATCAACTGGAACCTTCCTCTCTCTCAAATCATATTTTCAAGAGAACCACTGCTCAGTGACTCCAGCCAGCAGCGGCAGCAGGGCGGGGAACGGAGTGTCCAAAAAGGCAGTTTATTGGGCAGCTCAGCTTGCCGGGGCCACAGTCAGGGAGCCCAGGCCGGGCCTTCCCTTAGGCAGGATGCCCCGGAGGTGCGGTTCTCGGCAGCTCCTCCCCTCGAGTGCTGCCAGGGAGGACTCTGGCAGTTGTGAGCCTGCAGAGCCCACGGAGGCCAACAGCAACACTGAGGGGCCACAGGGGCAGCCTCCGTGCAGGTGAAAACACTGGCATGGCATGGCCAGGGTGGCTGGGGCAGGCTGTTTCCTGCGGGATGGGAAGGGAGTGTGGGGTCCCAGAGCAGACCCATCGGGGGCCCTGAGGGGACAGGTGGGAGGATGGAGAGAGGGTGGCCCTGGGGCTCCAGCTGGCAGCAGGCATGGCATTCACAGAGGCTCGAGGCCAAAGCTGCTTTTGCTCTTCTTCCGCCGGGCCTTGGCGAAGGGGATGTCCAGGGACTCGAGGCGGAAGGGCCGGGGCTGGGGCAGCTCAGTGGCCTGGGTGGGTGGGATGGCCAAGCTGTTGCCCAGCGGGGAGCTGAGGCCTGGTGGCGAGTTGTGGTGCCCTGTGGAGGGGAGGGCCAGGGTGCCAGTCAGCCCATGTGCAGGCACCCTGCCCGTCCTCCATGTGCAGTGGGGAGGGTCCAGCAGCTCACGCCCCCTCCTTCCCCTCCCCAGCACTGTAGCTGGGGCCCAGCAATGGCTGCTCAGGATGACACGTCAGACCCAGCACTACACCTGTAGCCCAGGGGTTCGGACCTGCAGACAGCAGGCCTGGCTCCCCACTTGCAGCAGTGTGACCCCGGGCAGGTCCCTGACCTCTCCTGACCCGCAGCGTGGGCACCACACAGGGGCTCAGCTGAGGCCAGGTCCTTTCCTATCCTGTTTCCCTCCTTGGGCCTCCATTCCGCTGCTCCACCCCTTATATCACCTTGGTATAGGAGGAGGATTTGCTTTCCGTTGCTACTTTATTGAAAATACAGTGGGATTCTTCCCCCTCATTTTAGAAGCAGAAGAATGGATTTTTCACTTTCTGAAACTGTGTTTTGCCTTTGTGGACCTTCTCTGGTCCCTGGGCACGGTGATCCTTAACAGGCAAAGTCAGCCCTCCCTACCCCACCACAGCGTATGGCAGGCCCTGCAGCACGTGAAGCAGCTGTGGGGGGCTGGCACTCCCCCAGTGATACTCTAAGCCTGCACCTCACCCTGCGTGCTGCCACCCTACCGGGGCTGGGGGGGCAAATGGACCAGACCCAGCACCTCTCCCCGGTGAGCAGACAGCACCCTGAGCACCTGCTGTGTGCGGCTGGGCTGGGCCATTTCCCCATGGCACTGTATTACATCCTGCAAATGAGTATTATTGCACTCCCACCCCATTTTATAACAGGGGAAACTGAGGCTCAGAGAGGAAAAGAGCTCCTGAACCCAGCTGCATCTGACTGCAAGCCCATCACGCCTCTCGCAGCTTGGGGCACGGAGCACTCACCGAGGCTCCTCATGGAATCCGTGCTCAGGATCTGGCTGGCCCGCTTGGACCGGAAGTAGTTACTGGCAATGTTCTCACTGTCACTCCGACTTAGCATCACGCGGTAGCGGTCTTCTTCCTGCCAGGATTAATCCACACACTAAGCAGCGGAGCCCCAGCTGCTGCAGTCCTGACTCGGACCCCTAGCTGAGAGCTCAGAGGCCTCTGGAAGCCTGCCGGGGTGGGGACTGCCCACTTTGGGGGTTCCCGGGCTCATGAGTCTCCAGCCAGGCATCCACTGCACCCCGCTTCCCTGGGACAGCCAGGGCTGTGTTCCCTCATGCAATACTCTGATGGGGCGAGGGTGCCGCCACTCTACCCCACCCCCCAAGTCTGTCCCCAGAGTACTCAGCCCACGGCTCCCCATGTGCCCATCAGCCTGGAGCCTGACCTCACATGAGGACAGTGATGTCACTGTAGCCAGGCCCTTGGTTTCTCACTCTGAACTCCTTCCTTCTCCCACTTGACTAGATATGTTCACATGGCACCCATCACAGAATCACAACTTCTGGAACACAGTAAGTGGTCCACTGCAGGCCCATGACCAGTCCAAATCTTGCCCAGAGTTGGGGCAGGTGCTGTAGTGGAGGCTGATAAGCTGCCCACACCCCATACCAGAGTGCCTGCTCCGAGCCCTGGCTACTTCACTCCGGATTCAGGTTCCCACTAACTGTAGCCTAGCACCTAAAGTCCTCACCCTGCACGCACTGGGATCCCATAGGGGTACTGGTTCTAATCCCACCAGCCCCACTTCCCATCCAGGTCTCTGCTTGTTGCCTGGGAAAGTAGTTGGGGACAGTACAAAACCTTGGGACCCTGTACCCGCATGGGAGACCCAGAAGAGGCTCCAGGCTCTGGGTTCCTGGCTTTGGATTGACTCTGTTTCTTCTGAGTCCCTCACATGGGTGCAGGGGGCCTAGGCACTTGGGTCATCTGCTTTTTTCAGGTTCACTAGCAGAGAGAAGGACCAGAAATGGAGCAGCCAGGACTTGAACTGGAACCCAAATGGGATGCAGTTTTTGCTGGCAGCCCTTTACCCACTATGCTCAACACAACCCCCGCTCCTGTGTTTTATTTTTATCTGTATTTTTTATTGGTTTATTTGAGACAGAGAGCTGCCATCCACTGTTTCATTCTCCAAATGCCCACAACAGTCGAAACTGAACTCTGCCAAAGCCAGGAGCGCAGGCCTGGTCTCCCGTGCAGGTGCCAAGGACCCAGTTACTTAAACCATCACTCACTGCGTCCCAAGGTGCTGGGACTTGAAGCCAGGTGTTCCGATATAGGACGTGGGCACCTCGACTGCGAGACTAAACACCCACCTTGGCAACTAAAGTTTCATCCTGTCTTTACGCTGCAATAACAGATGTGAGAGACTCCAGCCACCTGGCCCAAGAGCCGACAGAATTTACTATCAGCAATGACATTGTGGGGTACAGAGCGATGCCGATATCCCATGCCCTAGCACCAGTTCGAATCCACTTCCAATCCAGCTCCCTACAAATGCTCCTGGGAAGGCAACAGAAAGCAGCCCAAGTGGGTGGGCCCCTGCCCCCAGGTGGAGTGCCTGGCTCCTGGCTTGGCCTGTGCAGCCACTTGGGAAGCAGGTGGAAGACCTCTCTGTGTTTCTCCCTGTCACTGTGCCTTGCAGGTACACAGATCTTTCCCAAAAGTTGTAAAAATATATTTACTGTCAAGTCCTTTATAGCAGATGCTGGCTAGCTCCTGCTTCACACCCATACAACATGGGAAACATGCAAAGAAAGTGACCTTAGAATCCCAGTGATAGTTCTGTCAACACGTGGAGGTCTGAGGGACCAGCTGGGGCCCAGAGAACCAGACTGGGCCATGGGCCTCTGGACTTGAACCTGAAACCCCTGCCCTGTGCCAGCAGGGAACGCAGCCCAGTGCCCTATCCCTATCCCTGCCCTGTGCCCAGTGGCCCCAGGCCCTCCCTCTCCTTGTCCTCCTGACTTCAGGTGCATGTGAGCCAGGGCCAGCGGAGGCCAAGGGCCCAGTACCAGTGGAGGGACGCAGCAGAAGAGCCAGACTGGGCCCCAGTGTTCATCCTTAGGGGTGGTTGGTTTGGCCCAGGGATGAAGATGTCACTTGGGACCACCCCATCCCAAATGGAAGTGCCTGGATTTACATTCCAGCTCAAGTTCCCCATTCCAGCTTCCTGCTACTGTGCAACCTTGGGAGGCAGCAGGTGATGGCTCAAGCATCTGGGCACCTGGCAGCCACACGGCAGGTGTGCACTGAGTTCCTGGCTCCTAGCTTCGGCCTGGCCCAGCCCCAAGCCAAGCCTAAGCCCCAGCTGCCTGTGGGCAGTTACCAAGTGGATCAGTGGATGGGAGAGCTATTCTCAAATATATAAAACCAAGAAATCCTGGGGCCAACATGATGGCATACCCAGTTAAGCCTGGATTGCAAGGCCAATATGCCATATCAGTGCCAGCTGATGTCCCAGCTGCTTTCCTTCCTGCCTAGCTGCCAGATAATGGCTAAAAAGGCAACAGAACAGGGCCCCAATGTTTGTGCCTCTGCCGCCCACCAGGAGACCCGGATGGTGCTCCTGGCTCCTGGCTTCAACCTGGCCCAATCCTGGCTATTATAGTCATTTGGGAAGTGAACTAGCAGGTGAAAGATGTCTCTCACTCTGTGCCTTTCAAATAAATAATTCTTAAAAAGGAAAAGGCAGGAGAGCCGGGGGAGGATCCTCAGCTGGGGGGAGAGAAGTGGGTCTCCCATGGTAACGCCCCCAGCACCCCTCCACCCCTGTCCTTCCCCCTCCCCCGCAGGGGTCTTACCAGGTCGGCCTCACCAGTGTCAGCTGCAGAGGCTTTTCGCGGGGTTTTGTTCTGCGGCCCGGTGGAAACTGCTGAGGAAACAACAGCTACAGTCACTGCAGCCGGGACACGGGGGCCGGGGGTGGGGTGCAGGGTGTGACCCTGCCCAGCCTAGCCGCGAGGTGACTGTGGACAGCAGGCAAGGGGCAGGGGGCAGAGAGAGCGAGCCCAGAGCTGGAAGTGGAGCCGGCTGGGGTCTTGCGGGCTGGGCAGGTACCGCTCACAGGTGTCAGAGAGGTAGGGACAGGACCACGCCAGCTACAGGGCTACCGAGGGGAGAGCCTGCTGCTGCCCAGACAGAGCCGGGCGTCAGTGGGACACGGGACCACTGCAGGGCAGCTTTACTCTGAGACTCATCTGGGGCAGGGGAAGTGGGGGGCTGCAAGGTCACTTTATCTGATGGAGAAGCCCAAAGAGAGGCAGTGACCTTCAGAAGGTCATGTGGGAGAGCAACAGCCAGGTAAAAGTTAGTGTAGACCTGTGCAAACCCCTCCCCACAGTGACGGTGACTTGGGGCCGCACACCCGCTGCACCCACAGCTTGCAGGGAGCAGCTGGCTCAGGTTTGTGCAGAACCACAGGATACAGAGGGGAGGGCAGGGGGCAGCGTGCTCTGACCTACTGGGAGGCTGGTTCTCATGATGACGGGCTCTGGAATCTTCCAGAAGCCATTATCCTCATCCCAGGAGGACTCGCGCCGGATCCTCTCCAGGTTGCTGTAGTTGCAATCCCTCCGGATCAGGGGCTGCACCTGCTCCAGCAGCTGCTGGAAGAACATGGCGTCGCGCTCCTGCCGCCGGATGGTGGCCAGGTAATCGATCTTCTCCAGCTCAAACTCCGATTGCAGATCTTTGATCTCCACCTCTGCAGCCCGCAGCTGCCAGCAAAGCATGACAGGCAATGAGCAAGTGGGGTGAAGACAGAGGCTTCGCCCGGACCATGCCCCCACCCCTGCACCCCACCAACAGACCCCTTCATGGCCCATCCACACCATCTCCCCCAGCCAACCAGCCCCCAACCCTTCTGTCCCTCCCTTGTCCCTCTCCCACCGTCCCACCCAGTGCTTAGATGAGCTGTCCACAGTCCTGGAAAATGTAAAGGGATAAACTGACCACCACCTGCTGCCACCAGCTCCTGGCCCCTGGCTCACACTCAAGCACCTCACTCGGGGGCCTTTCAGATGTGCCAGCCACAGTCGCCCCAGCCCTGGGAGAGCTCAGAGAGCTGCACAAATGACACGACTACGGGGTCCACCGGCACAACCGTGCCGACTCCACAGCCCTCCTCCCCCCACCACAGCCCTCTGTCCTGGAGAGACAGACCCCGCACCTGACAGGCCCACCTGATTTGACCATGGACTCCAGGCTCTTGGTCCCTGCGAAGTGTGCCAGACTGACCTTTCCTTCCCTCCTAAACACAGTGAGTGCCAATGCCAAGTGCAACCCTGTGCTTAGCCTCATGTCCCAGATGCACAGGCTGGCCCTCACACAGCCGGTGCAGTGTGGCTGATTAAGAAGGGTGACTGAATCCAAGGCAGTGACTGTCACCAGGCTAAGAACACGCCCTCGGCAGGAGTGGGACGGACAGGCGGCTGGCAGGGAGAGCCAGCTACACAAGCAGAAGCTATGCTAGGCCTGAAATGGAAGGGTTGGCTTCAGCTGAACTAAAGATGCCCCAGTGCCCATGCTAGGTGATGCACGCAGGGTTCCCATGTCATTACAGATTGGAATGTTTTTAACGATTTACTGACTTACTTATTTCGAAAGTCAGAGTTACAGAGGGAGCGGGAGAGACAAACAGCAATCTGTCCTCACAGGTCCACAACAGCCAAAGCAAGAAGCCAGGAGCTTCATCCGGGTCTCCCAGGGACTCAAAACGCTTCAGCCACCTTCTGCTGCTTCCCCAGGCCATCAGCAGGATGCTGGATCAGAGGTGGAGCAGCCAGGACCTGAGCAGGTGCCACGTGCTGGTGTCACAGGTGGTGGTGCCCTACCTACTATGCCACAAGGCCAGCCCCGTACATTTTTGTATATCTAAAATAATTCAGAATCTCTTCCTGGGCCCAGCAGCATGGCCTAGTGGCTACATCTCACCTTGCACGTGCCACAATCCCATAGGGGTACTGGTTCATGTCCCAGCTGCTCCACTTCCCATCCAGCTCCCTGCTTGTGGTTTGGGAAAGCACTAGAGGACAGCCCAAGCCCTTGGGACCCTGCACCCATGTGGGAGAACTAGGAGAAGCTCTTGGCTTCTGGCTTCAGATCAACTGAGTGCTGGCCAATGCGGCCACTTGGAGAATAAACCAGCGGATGGAAGATCTTTCTGTCTCTTCTTCTTTTGTAAATCTGCCTTTCCAAAAAAAAAAAAATAAATAAACAAATCTTTTTAAAAAATCACTTTCTGGGCCTGGCACAGTTGCCTAGTAGCTAAAGTCCTTGCCTTTCATGTGCTGGGATCCCATATGGGTGTTGGTTCTTATCTCAGCTAATCTACTTGCCATCCAGCTCCCTGCTGTGGCCTGGGAAAGCAGTAGAGGACGGCCCAAAGCCTTGGGACCCTGCACCTGCATAAGAGACCCAGAGGAAGCTCCCGGCTCCTGGCTTCAGATCGGCTCAGCTCTGGCCATTGCTGCCACTTGGGGAGTGAACCAGCAGATGGAAGAGCCTTCTCTCTGCCTCTCCTCCCTGTAAATCTGAAGATGGGTCCCTGCAACCACATGGGAGACCTGGATGGAGTTCCAGGTCTCCAGCTTCAGCCTGGCCCAGCCCTGGGCATTGTGGCTATTTTGGGGGGTGAATCAGCAGATGGGAAGAATGCTTTCTCTCTGTGACCACACTTTCAAACAAATAACTCTTTTTAAAAAATGACAAAATTTAGGAAGGTTGCAGGATAGAATTGCTGTTTTCTTGGCGCTATTACCAGGGAACTGGATCAGATGTGAAGCAGTTGGGACTCGATCCAATGCTCATATAAACACCAACACAGCAGGTGGCAGGTTAACTTAGTGTGCCAGCTTTAAACTTTGCTATTAGTTCTAATATTTTTAAGTCCCTTAGGACATTCTCTATAAAGCATGATGTCACCCACAAATAGAGATTATTATCTCAACGTGGATTTAAAAAAACAATTTGCATGTTTTATTTTAAGGTATATAGATTGAGAAGGAGCATCAAAAAGATCTTCCATCCACTGGTTCGTCCCCAGACAGCCACATGGCCTGGGCTGGGCTAGATGGAAGCCAGAAGCCAAGAATTCTATGCATGTCTCCCACTCAGGTGACAGGGGCCGTCTCCCTCTGCCTCCCAAGGTGTATTAGCAGGGGACTACACAACATCCGGGACTCATAAGTGATGCCAGCACCTCAGGCAGCAGCTAAACGTGCTGTGCCACAATGCCCGCCCCCAATCCAGATGTCTTTTATTTCATTTTCTTTCCTAGCTGCTCTTCTAGAAATTGCACTTCAACGTGGGATAACATTGCTGACAGCAGGCTTTTGTACAATCCTTCTTACATGTGGTTGGATTTGGTTTGCTGGTATTTTGTAGAGCCAGAGGAGCTATCAGCGTGCACTTTTCTTACTAGGTCTTATTCTGGATTTGGTATCAAAGGGACACTGGTCCCATGGAATAAAGTGTTCTTAGGTACACGACATGATGGCTTAGTGGCTAAATCCTCACCTTGCACACGCTGGGATCCTTTATGGCGCCGATTTGTGTTCCAGCTACTATATTTTCCCATCCAGCTCCCTGCGTGTGGCCTGGGAAGGCAGTGGAGGATGGCCCAAAGTCTTGGGCCCCTGAACCCACGTGGGAGACCTGGAAAGAGCTCCTGGCTCCTGGCTTTGGGTCCGCTCCACTATAGCCATTGTGGCCACTTGGGGAGTGAGCCAGTGGGTGGACTATCTGTCTCTCTTCTCTGCAAATCAGACTTTCCAGTAGAAAATAAACAAATCTTTATTAAAAATGTATCTCAGAGGTGGAGATAGAGTAAGCTCCTGTTTGATTCTTTAGATGCCTGCAACTGCTGTGCCTGGGCTCAGTCCAAGCCTGCAGCCAGGAGCTCAATCGAAGCCTCCCATGTGAGCAGCAGGAATCCAGGGCCTTGGGGCATCACTGCCACCTGCCGGGGTCTGCCCCTGCAGAAGCTGGGGCCAGGAGCCAGAGCCAGGAGCAGCCTCGGGTCCCTGGCATGCGAGATGGGTACCCTGACCAGCAGCATCACCGCAGGGTGCTGGTACCCTAGCCCTGGGGAGCTCCAAGCAGAGGGACTGGCCCCACTATTGCCACACCACTGCTGTGGTGGCATTGTGGTACCAACGGGAACATGAGCTTCATTTCAAGTGACACTTCCCAGGAGCAGGCACCGGCCTCGCCCTCAGCACACTCTGAGCCCCAGATCAGCGCACCTGACTCTGGCTTCCTGCCCCGGGAGGCGGCAGTGACAGTCCACGAGACTGGGTCGCTGCTGCCACAGGGAGACCTGGATCAAGTTCCTGGCTTCCACCACAGGCTGCAATGTTGGAGGAGAGAAGTAGTTTTAGGAGGCTTTCTCTGTCTCTTTCTCTGCTTGTCAAATACTTAAAAAAAAAAAAAAAAGATTTATTTTTATTGGAAATTCAGACATACAGAAACGAGGAGAGACAAAGAGGAAGTTCTCCCCTCTGATGATTCACTCCCCAAGTGGCTGCAACAGCCAGTGCTGTGCCAATCCAAAGCCAGGAGCCAGGAGCTTCCTCTGGGTCTCTCATGCAGGTGCAGGGTCCCAAGGCTTTGGGCCGTCGTCCTCGACTGCCTTCCCAGGCCTCAAGCAAGGAGCTGGATGGGAAGCGGGGCTACCAGGATCAGAACCGGTGCCCATATGAGATCCTGGCGCCAGCAAGGTAAGGACTTTAGTTCTAGGCTATTGCGCTGGGCCCTGAAATACTTTCAAAAAATAAAAGATGACACTTCTCCAGACAGCCAGAAGAAGGCGCTATTGAACCCCAGGGAACCGCCCAAGCCTTGCCTTTGCTGCTACCTAGCCAGAGCTCACAAAATCACCAGGGATGTGCAGATGTGTCCCATCAGAGGAGAGGAATCACAGCATTTCTAAGGAGAACCTCCCCTCCCACCAAACACGCAGGGAGAACACGCAGCACGGGCTGGCGGTGCGGCACGGTGGGCTGGCGGTGCGCACGGCGGGCTGTCTCTGCTCGCAGCACAAGCATCCCACAGCAGAGACCTGGCTGGTGCTTGGTGTCCTCCCGCCAGCATGGGAGACCGGGACGGAGCTCCAGCCCTAGCCGCTGCGGCCATCTGGGGAGCAAACATGTGGATGGAAGATTCTCTGTCTCTCTCTTTCCCTCTCTCACTACCTTTCAAATTTTTTTTTAAGGAGAGGGGAAGACAGTCCCCTGTTTGGCATGATCCCCACTTGCTGGCATTGAGGGAAGGCCAAGCCCTCACAGAGCAGGCACGCAGGCAGCGCTGCCGCTCCCTCGGCTCTCAGATCCTCACATGGGGCTGGCACTCAGGCTCCTCCCTAGTGCTCCTGGAGCTGGCCCTGTCACCTGCACCTGTCTCGGGTTCCATGCGGTACTGACTCTCCTGGGGTCCCCTGTGCAGGCTCCCCTCCATGCGGACACCCCTGGGGTCCTTGGGCCCCCAGCTTCTTGATGTGGGTGCTGGGATCCCCCGTGCAGTGCGACTTGCAGACACTTTTAGCAAACAGGCAGACAAATCTGGTCTCCTGCCCTGAGCCCCTTCACTCTTCGCCATTCTTCAGCTTGGCCCTCTGTCACGTCACCCATCGCACAGGCACACACATGCACATACGTATACACACACTAGGATATAAGCACCGTAACGGCTGGCACATGCCTCAGGCGGCCAGCCTCAGGGTGCGCACAGCAGGTGCCTCACAGACGCCCGTGCAGGGCAGCTGTATGGGGGGCAGCCTCACCTTCCTCTGCACCCTCTCCAGCAGCTTGCTCTTGGCCCTCACTTCCTCCTGGATGGAGTCGTAGACGTTGAGCAGTACCCAGTCGCCGCCGTCCTCGTCTGCGCTCTGCAGTGCGGCCACCAGCTGCTTCCGGCGCTCATCTGCGTAGCGCTTGCGCCCCTTGTGCTTCTCCTTCAGGGCCTTGTTCTTGGCTTGCTCCCCGCCCACCACCTGCTGCTCCAGCAGCTGCAGCCTGCCCGCCCGCAGAGGGGGGGAAACGGTACAGCACCTGTCACCCCCCACTCCGTGAGCTCACCTACCCCACTGTGCTCACCAAATCCTCCCAGTGGGCCCACTTCACAGAGAGGCAGACTGAGGTCCACAGGATACTGCTGGCTTAGGGGCCATACCCAGATCCACCCAGATCCACCCAACTTCACGCCTGTGCACTTAATGGCTGGGTAGGTGTGCCCAGCCCTGCTGGCCACAATCTATGCCCCCATGCTCGCAGCTGACCCCTGGAGCCCTGACCCCACCACTCCCAGGTCTGAGGCCCTGCCACGAGAGCTCACGGCTGCCCCTGGAGACCACACTGCCACGAGGAGACCAAGAGCCAGACTGTGCAAAATACACAGTGGAATCAACCAGGACCATGGACAATCCATCTTAAATGTCTTTGCACCCCAAATGTGCCACATTGTTTTGTCTTTCAAGGGACAAGCTTTAAGTAACTTCAAAGACGGCTGTGGAAGTGGACAGCAACGAGGGCAGAGCCACATCCTGCCCCTCCTCCAGTAGCCCCTGGAGGGATGAGGCCAGTGCTGAGGGGCTACACGGGCCCCTAATGCCTCCCCTATCCCCCAGATCACCCCTTACCACCTCTTGTGCATGGCAGCTTCCGTTCACTGCTCCAGGCCCTTGGTCTGGCACTGCCTCACTCAGCCATGTTCTGCAAACCTCACTCAAGACCCCACTTCCAGGAAGCCCTCCCTGACCTTTAGATAGCCACACCGTGTACCCTGGGAGCCTGTCCCTGGACTGCTACCGCCGCAGCTATAGCCACATGGAACACCTGCTACGACCTTCCCCAGCTGCAACTGCTCACGTCATCCAGGGGACAGAGACCTACGAAGGCCCAGAGTCAACGCACGATGGCAGAGCTGGTGGCAGGAGAGGCCAGGAGGAATCCAGGCAGCGAACAACGGCACCCGACCTGGTGCCCCCGAAGGCCCAGGTGGCCCCTGCTCCACCCACACACACAGGCTTCAGCACTTAGTCACTCAGCTCACGTGTGAATGGCCGAGGCTCCCCAGGTGAGCAATACCATCGCTTCGAGAAGTGACGGCTAGGCCTATGCGCAGCCATGGGGCCGGGGGCGAGCCCAGCTCCCCTGGCAGTCCCCAGGGAGGTGGTCTGTCTCAGCGTGGGCGAGTCCTCCCACAGGAACAGCACAGGAGGGTTTGACTGTACCCAGGAACTGTACCAGAAACAGGTGGGCACCGGCCTGTTCACTTCTTCCCCAGCAGGTGCCTGACTGGAGCCTGAGGCAGCCCAAGTTCTGGGGGCAACTCCAGCCACTCCCAGCCCCCGATGCCCTGGGGAGAAGACCCAGGCGACCGGAGCCATGGGAGCAGGAGGGGTGAGTATATGGTCCCCAAACCTGGGCCTGGGATGGCTCCTCCCCACCCGGCCACGGGCCACACCAGCCCGGAGCACACCATGCTTACCGGGCGAGCACCTGCTGCTGGTCCACCATGGGCGGCAGGTCCTCAGTGAGCACTACCACCTCGTCCGTGCTCTCCCTTGTCATGCCTGCTGTGGCCAGCTGGGGTCGCTCTGGAGCCGTCACTACCACCTGCGACTCAGGCTCCAGCCACGCTCCAGGGCCGGCAGTGGACAACACCTCTTCCACCTCCTCGGCCATGTCCAGGGCCAGCTCAGCCTCCTGAGCACAAAGAAGTGAGATGGAGGACAGGCCACTCGGGGACAAACTCACGCCCAGGAGAGGAGGTCCTTCTTGGGGCCTGATCAGCGGGTACACACAGGTATCCAGACAGCAGTATCTTCAGCTGCCCCTCCATACCTTCCAGCTTCACCTCTCACCTCCCATGCCAGGACACTCTTCTTAAAATCACACCCCTTGAGCCCGGCACGGTAGCCTAGTGGCTAAAGTCCTTGCCTTGCACATGCCAGAATCCCATATGGATGCCAGTTCTAATCCTGGCAGCCCTGCTTCCCATCCAACTCCCTACTTGCAGCCTGGGAAAGCAGTCAGGGATGGCCCAAAGCCCTGGGACCCTGCACCAGCGTGGGAGATCTGGAAGAGGATCCTGGCTTCAGACTGGCTCAGCTCCAGCTGTTGTGGCCGTTTGGGGAGTGAATCATTGAAGGGAAGCTCTTCCTCTCTCTATCTCCCCTCCTCTCTGTATATCTGCCTTTCCAATAAAAATAAATAAATCTTAACCCAAAAAAGTCACACCCCCTTAAAAACAGAACACCTGCCACTTCCCTCTGCACCTGTGGGAAAACCCAGCTTCATTTCCGGCCGCCACACCCTTCACACCCGCCCCCCTCGGCTTCCCGCGGCCACCCACCCCCAGGCAGCCCTGCACACTGCCACCCTGCCGTAGCTATTCTCAGTGAGAAAACCAAGATCCTGCTGGCCACAGGACCTTGGTACTTGCTGTCTCTCCTTGCTTGCTGCCTGGGTCCCCCTGCGTGTCATATCCTGGCCAGGGCCAGCCCATCTACCCTCAGAAGACGCCGGGTGCCGACTACACCGTAGGCTGCAGGCCAGAGGCTGGCAGACTTCCTTCTCCAGAAACGAGACCATCGTCGCTTTCCTGGCCCTCAATGTGGCCTGCTTTGCTGTCTCCAACAGAAGCAGAAGGGTGGGTCCTATGGCCGCATTGCTGGGACTCGGACACAGCGGGGCTACAGGCCACGTCAGCCTCAGAGGAGCGACAGATGCCCGGATGTGCATTGTGCAGGCAGGCCGGGGTCTGGGCTCACTCCAGGATGAGGCTGCCCACGGAGCCACCGGAGGTTAGCCCTGGCGGTACTCACCATCCTGGGTGGGGGGTCCTTGGCCAGCTCGATGGTCGAGCTTGTGTCACTGCGCTCAGGCACTTCTGTTGGAGAGGGGAGCTGGGGGAGGGTGGGAAGGGGTGGGGAGGGGTGGCCTGGGTCAGAATCTGCCTCCATCCCCTGCCTTGCCCCTGCCTCAGCTCCCCAAGGCTGCCCAGCCTCCTGGTACCTGCCACCGCCCAGAGGAGAAGCAACGGTTGCAGTGGGAGAGCGGGAGAGGGAAACCCAGGGGGCCATGTCCAAGGTCATACAGCTAGGTGAGTGCCAGAGCGGGACAGAATCCACACAGGTGTGAGCCAAAGGCCACTGCTCCTGCACTCACACACACGTGCACATACAGGTTCATGCATGAGCAGATGGCACACACAGGAGCCCAGGGAAGCAAAGGGCAGCAGAGAACAGAAAGGAAAGAGGGTGGCCAAGGGAGAGGCCCTTGGACGAGGACAGGCTGGGGGAGCAGCAGGTCAGGGCTGGGGTCCCTGGCAGGGACTGGATCCCACAGAGCCCACCTAGCTCACTGCCTCCCTTCTCGTTCTCCCAGTCCGGAGGTGCAGGATGGGTGAGGGGATGCAGGCCCCTCCCACCCACCCACCTGCCCTGCTGACTGACACAGCAACAGAGGAAACAGCTCCCCCCAGGCCCCACCATGCCCAAGCCAGGGCCCCTGAGGCGGACAGCAATGCCAAAGCCACAGCATCCACGGGGCAGTGCAGCTGGACAGCAGAGGCCACGAGTTCTGTGCATGAGCACGGCAGCCTCTGCCCCCGCTGCCCAGCATGCCTGCCCACTCGGCAGATGCCCAACAGTCACTACCTGCGACAGGATCTCGGCCCCTGCGGTCCGGGGCTCTTCCGTCCTGGCTGTGAATGAGGAGAGCCGGGCCAGCTTGGCTTCCACCTCGGCAAAGGGGTCAGGCAGCATCTGCAGGGACGTGAGCGGCAGCTCCTCCTCCTGGAAGCCGGTGTCCTCCGACCAGAGCATGGCCTGAGCCCCTAGTCCTTCGGGCGGGAAGTACTCGCTCCCGGGCTCCATCTCGGACTCCGCCCCGTGCACAGGCTCCGTAGGCCCAGGAAGGACCTCGTCCTCAAACGTGGACGACTCGTTGGACCAGAAGGACGCCTCGGATCTGGAGGCCTCCGCCTTGGGCAGCTCCTCGAAGGAGGCAGAGCCTTCCGCCGGGGCGTGGGCATCCGCGGGCGGCTCACAGGGCATGCAAAACACCTCGGGCCTGTCCACCAGCTCATACTGGAAGGCGGGAGTGAAGTCTGCCCGGCTGGCAAACTCGGCCCTGGACATGACCTCAGCCTTGTAGAGGACTTCTGCCTTCAGCATGGCCTCTGCACAACCAAGAGTCCCCGTTAGGCCAAGGGAAGACCACAGCTAAAAGGGGGCCCATGCCCGCTGCCCCCAAGAGGCCACTCAGGCCAGGAGACTGGCCTGCTCACCTGCCCCGTTGCCCATTCCCCATCACAGCTCAGCCTGTCACCTTCTACCTCCACCAGGAAGCCTTCCTCCCACCAGCCCCAAGGTTCCTCCATGCCCAGGGCTTCCCCAGCCACCAAGAGCTGGCTTCCCGCCGCCTTGACTAGGGACCACTGTTCCATCTTACAGGCTCCCATGGGTCCAAGCGCCTCCCCGGCTGGGAGCTCCTGGTCAAAAGGTTGCACGCCGAGACCTTTCCCCGCCGCCCCCCGAGTCTGACCTCCCTGGGCAGAGGGTGCATATAAAGCACCCACGGTGCCAGGCACTGAGCAATGCCAGCGAGGGGTGGCGCAGCATGAGCAGCTGGGTCACAACCACCACCCCGGCCTCAATGCAGGTGGGCAAGTGCCAGTGGATAGTGTTCCAGCGGCACAGGTGCACTAACCAGATGTGTGAGGACCCAGGTAAGTTCTCACCAGGGCTGACAGCCTTATTATGGGATGTGGGCTGCTTTGGTAACAGACGGGAGGGGAGGGGCAGGAGTTTGGCCTAGGAGTTAAGATGCCTCGGTTCGAGTCCCAGGACCGGCTCCTGACTCATTTCCTGCCAGTGCAAACCTTGGCCGGGGGTGGGAGCATGGGTGATGGCTTGAGTAACTGAGCCCCTGCCACCCACACAGGGGTCAACCACTGCAAGCATTTGGGGAGTGAACCTAAAGATGAGAATTCCATCTGTCTGCCTGCCTCTCAAATCACGACAAAGCAGCAAGAGCAGACATTGCAAACCCCAGGTTGGGACTGCGCTCTGAAAGGAGGTGGCACTTTGCACCCTGATGCCAGCCTCGAGCAGGGCCCAGCAGGAGCCAGGCCACCATGGACCAGCACTGTGGGTGAGACGGTGGCGCTGGAACAGGTGGCCAGGGCGCCGTGTGACCTGCATGAGCCACTCACCCTGTCTGTGCCACAGTCACCATGGCACCCGCCTGGCAGGCTGCCCCGAGGCTTCAGCAGGATGAGGCCGGTGCCAGGGAGGGCTCTGTGCAGTCAGCCGCCCGCCCGGCCCCGGGCACCCACCTGTCTCCTTGCGCAGGTTCTCCTCCAGTGTGGACAGCTTCATGTCGTACGAATTGCGCATGGCCGTGATGTCCTCCTCCAGCCGCGCCCGGGACTCCTGCTCCGCCTGGTAGTCGGCCTTCAGCTGGGCCAGGCGCTGCTCGTACTCCTGGGGGTGGGTGGCCTGTGAGCAGCCCTCGATGCTCCCTCCTCTCACTCGGCCACAAGCAGGAGGCTACAATCCCCTACCCTACACTGAGCAAGCCCCCGCCCCCGGGAAGCCCTCCCTGACTCCGGCTCATGCGCTTTCCGGGATAACAGCACAGGGACAGGTTCACTGTCTTCCCCACCCGCCAACGCACCCTGAGCGCCTTCCCACGCCAACAGGAGCACGCTGTGGTCAAAGGTCCCCAGCCCATCGGTGACAAAACCAGCTCTTGTCCACCTGCTTTCTTCCACACCACTGCGCCATCACCAGCTCTCACCCAGGGAGCCCCTCGGGGCCCCACTTCCACCCCTGCTATCGCCCCAGACCCTTCTCCCCACAGCTGCCCTGCATTTCCAGCAGACCATGTACTCTCCCCGCCACTTCCCTATCTAAGGCACATCAATGGCTCCCCAAGTTCACGGACAGAACAGATGGCATCTGCGCCCTTCAGCCCGACACAACACCCAGGCAAGGGCAGTCCTGTGCCCAGCACAGGATGGGGACTCACAAAACACAGGAGGTTCCAGGGTGAGCCACAGACACGGGCTCTGACACACCCCCCTTGCGAGGGGACAGCCTCAGCAAGCGGGCCGCCTGGCTGTGTTCTCAGGAAGGAGAGAGGGGACAGACAGGTGGACGTCAGAACTGGGCACATCTGAGCCTCATGGTCACGCCTGCCACATCACAGAGGCCCAGTGGCTCACCAAGCCTCTCTCCTCACTTCCTGCCTGTCCCAGCAAGATCTGGTACCCCTCAATCCATGGGCCCCATGTAACCCAGGCTCAGCCACCCCAACCTGCACCCTAGCAAGACCCAGAAGTGTACGTGGCTGTTGGCACATATTCACGCAAGACCACACACTCATGCATCAGCACTCACAGAAATGCACACTCGCACGTGCACACTAGCAGGTGCACACACGGACACAGATGCATACAGCAGTATACCTGCACAGAGACGTAATTAGCACACAATGCTTATGCAATGTCTGTATACATCCATGATGTGCATATGCTAATATGTGTGCAGTGCATGCTAACACACGCTGGCATGCAAACATATGTGCACGTATTCTCACAAATACACATGTATGCACACAGCGGCACCACCCTCCCACCTCACCTTTAACCACAGGCCCCAAATCGCAGGCAGGGCTCCCATCACAGGACACACCCCCAGCCCTCACCCTCCTCCACTGCCGTAGCACCTTCACTCCGTCACAGATAACTGCCCCTCACCTCCACCTGCAGCTCTACCGCCCGCACACTCCCCCTGGATGAGCTGTCTGGCATCCAGCCCGCCTCAAAGGTGAGATGCTCTCAATCTCCCACCTGCCTCCCACGCCTCAACCTCTCTCCCTAAGACCACACCCACCTGCCCACTTCTCACTTCCAGCACCAAAACTTCAACTTCCTGGCTCCGTGTGCCCCTCCAGGCCTCATGCCGAGCAGGCTCAGAATACGCTAAGGATGAGGGGGCTCAGCACTCCTCCCCCTCCTCCTGCTTGGTCCTCACTGCACAGCCCAGAAAGAGACTCCCACATGTCGCATTGCCCACCCCGTGCAGCTGTGGGACAGCTGCCGGGCACCTGTGTGTGCCACAGGTGAGGGCCCAGAGGCTCCATGCCCACCAGCAGCCTGCCCAGAGTCTCACAGCCTATCAGGGCCAGGCCACAAAACAAGGCAGCAAGATGGGAATATTCTAGTCAACTCTCATTGCCCTTTCCCCCATCCTGTCCATACAGCTCAGGGCACCCCTCACACGAACTCATAGCTGACTCGTTCCTGACCACACCCCTCCCTGCCGAGAGGCCTCCTCCCTGGGCCTGGGCCTCCTCCCTGGGCCTGGGCCTCCTCCCTGGGCCTCCTGCTTGCACTGTAATGGACAGGAAAGCCCAGTCCCCAGGTAAGTCTCCCCGCCAACTCCTCTAAGTAAGGCTCCCAGGAGAGACCCCTGGGGCAGTCAACCGAATCCCTGTGGCGAGGCAGCAACGGGGTGGGGGGCTCTTGCTACCACCGGGCTGTGCTGGAGGAGGGCAGGCAGCCTGGTTCTTGCTCAAGTCACAAGGCCATCCCATCTCTGGCCTCCTGCCCCTTCTCTCCTTCGCAGTGGACTGGCAACAGCGCTGTTCTCCCAGCTGACCACGAGATGGCGCCAGCCGCTCTACACGGAAAAGGCCGAGCAACGTCCTGGACCCAGGGGCAAGGTTCCACAACTGCGGCTGCTGCCATGCCCTGCCTCTCCTGTGAACTTCTGCCACTCATCATGCCTCCTCCTCGGGAGCCCTCCCCAGCAGCCAGCCTCCCAGAACCCCAAGCTCCCCTAGGCCTCACCTGCTGTGCTTCCCCCAACCAGAGACCCCTGGCCCCTACAGCCTGAAAGACTTCAGGGTCTGAGGGCTGACCCCAACTGAGGTCATGTTGAGCGGCAGGAGCCAAACTGTCCCTGCAACAGTCAGGGTGCTGAGAGGAGGGGTGGCACCCAGTTCCCCACTTCGAAAGGGAGGGGTGCCCACAGCCAGAGGCTGTGGCAGTGACCCCTGCCCCACAGCTCCCCAGGGAGGCTGGGAGGCCCTTGGGTCCCCAGAGGATAAGTCTGCCCTCACCCACTGGCCAGAGGCTGCTCTGTTGGGAGCCCCAGCCTGTGCACAAGCCTCTCCCACAGCCAGGAGGGCCTCTCTGCTTCCATCCCCAGTGCTCCTGGAGGAGCCTCACACCCTGTCCGTTCTCTCCCATGCAGGCTCTGAAGCGGCATGGCCTGCAGGCTGGACTCAGGACCCCAAGTTCGAATCCTGGCACTTGCCCTCCTTAGCCACATGAGCTTGGACAAGTCATGGCATCTCGAAGCTTCAGCCACACAGTGGGCCTACAGGTACAGAGGAGGGCGATGGTAGTGAAGGAGGAACGCTACCTGTGGAGACGAGGCGGCGGCCCCCAGCCCTCTCCCCACTGTGCCTGCTCGGGCCTCACCTCCCGGATGAGCTGTTTCTCAGCCTCAGCGTCATGCTGGGTCACAGGTGGGATCAGCTTCTCCTCACCCTGGCCGGGACGCTGGGGCTCCTGGCCAGACAGTAGGGCTGGGAGAAGAGGGAAAGCAGCTGAGAAGGAGGCACACACGGCTTGGAGGAGCCCGTGCAAGGGTCACCACGTGCTCGCTTGGACACGCCCACGAGGGCTGAGGTCATCGCAGACAGGACACAGGGCGGGTGCCAGAGCCGCAGGTGCCAGAGCCACAGGCAGGCAGTGCCATCAGCAGGTGGGGATAGCAACAGGACACTGGGGCAGCACGAGCCTCGGCCATCCTGGGGCAGTGCTTTCCACTGCTTCACAGGAGGGGACTGCGGCCCAGGGGCCTGCGGAGGTGGGGGTGAGCTGGTGTTGGCTGCCTCACTCACCACCTGCCTCAGTGCCATGCTCGTGGAGCAGCGACCCTGGACGGCCTCAGTATTAGCGGACCCAGTGACACTGCCTCCCCAGCCACTCCTGGGACCTCTCACCACTCCCAACTTGGCCTCCCGCTTACTGCCCTTGGGGGGCGCTGGGCAGCATGGGGAGAAGGGAAAGAAGAGGGGGGCAGGTGACCAGAGTGGAATTCCTCCTGGAGGGTTCAAGGCCCTCCCCTCTCCACCCCCCGCCAGTCCCCACCCCACGGTAGCCCGCAGCAGCCTGTGTGTCTTCCCAGAGGAACCTCAAAGCCCTAAGCACACATCCCAGCTACTCGCAGCCCCACGTCCTCATGGGGTTAGTCACTGTCTGCTCTGTGAAGCCAGCTGGGACTAACCCCACGCCACCCCCACAGACCTGACCACACACCCCTTTCTGCCCACTGCGGGGGTCTGCCTTAGGGCCTGCTAAAACATTTAGCTCAGGAACTGGGAATGGATGAATGGATGAATGGGGCAGGAGGTTGGACCGGAGTGAGCGAGTGCCCTGACTGCAGGGTGGGCTGGGAGGGCAGTGGGGTCGGGTAACTGCATGGGTGGAACAAATGAATGAGGAGCAGGTGGGTGTGTGATGAAGGAAGGAAATGGACAAATCATGGCATGGATGAGAAGGCAGGCAGGTAGACATGTGAGCAGACCAGCCGATGGAGATGGCATGGGGCTTGACAGATGGGCAGACAGACCTGGCTCTCGCACACTTGCTTCCCCGAGACAGAGAGAGGGAGATTGCAGGGGACCTTGGCAGGTCCGGCTCAGTAGGATGGCCTGATAGCCCTCCGCCCAATGGCAGCCCACACGCCTGGGCCTGCACATGGCAGCAACAGCCTCCTTACTGCAGAGCAAGGTGGGACATGGAGGAGTCAGCCAGCCAGCACCGCAACACTGTCCCGGAGACAGCCAGCACACAGAGGGGATGACGGAGGCGCAGTGGGGCAGGCAGCGGGTGACAGGGCCTTGGGCTGGTGGGACATGCCAGAGCAGGGCCACTTCCTCAGATCACTGACAGCACGCATTCCATGTGACTGTTCCAGCCAGGGCTGCACCTGACTCTTGCCAAGCTGTGCCCAGGAGTGAGCATCCGGGGCAGCAGGTAAGACAGTGGGAGCGTGGGGGGCCTGCATCAGTATTGGAGTGCCTGGGTCCAGATATGGTTCTCTTCCTAATGCCAGCTTCCTGCTAATGCCCACCCCGGGAGACAGTAGGTTCTCTTCCTGCCTTTGGCCTGACCCAACCCCAGCTGTCACTGACACTTGGGGAGTAAACCAGTGGATGGAAGATCTGTCTCTCTGATTTTCAAATAAAACAGACAAAACAACCAAACAGGGAAAGCTGTGCCCACACGGAATCAGGAGAAGTGGGGGCTGGAAGTCAGGGCCAAGCTCCCGCCTCCTCTGCCGGCCACCACCGTCCGGCAGCCTACCTGTCTGGCCGCCCGGGCCCATCTGCTGGGCCAAGATGGCCTTGAGCTTCTTGATTTCCTCCTGGTACTCGCGAAGGAGCGCGTCCTTGGGGTCCTCGTTGATGCGCGGCTTGTTCTTGATGTTCTTGGCCCGGTTGGCATAGCGCAGCGTGCTCAGGGACTCGTCGTAGTTGTTGTCGGCAGGCGACAGGCAGGCCACCATCAGCGTCTTGGTGTTGCCGCCCAGCGAGTCCTGCAGCAGCCGGGTGAGCTTCGAGTCGCGGTACGGGATGTGCTTACAGCGCCCGTCCACCAGCGCCGAGATAACATTGCCTAGCGCTGACAGCGACAGGTTGATCTTGGTGGCCTCCTTGAGCCGCTCCCCGGTGGCTCCCGTCTTGGACTGCCGCTCGCTGCCCGCCAAGTCCACCAGATTCAGCTTGCCCGCGCGGAGGTGGTCCTTGCCCCGCTCATCTACAGACAGAGTGGCCAGGTGCAGTGGGGCCAGCACGCAGTGAGCCCCAGGACGCTCCTCACCGCTGAGAGGAGTCCCTGGGAGGTACCACCATGGTGCCCAAAGGAGGACACCGGGGCCCAGAGAGGACACTTGATTCACCAAGGTCAAATTCACATGATCCGCTAGGGTCAAGGTCAGATGTGAGCTGGCCCAATCCCAGGGAGCAGGGCCCAGAGCACAGGCTGTTCTCGGGGCAGAGGTTCCTTCCAGCTCCCCCCTGCAGCTCCTCCTCCAGGCCTGAGGCAGAGGGTAAGGAGGTATAGCCGGGCTAGCTCTCTGGTCCTCAGTTCTGCACACCAAGCCTACGAGAGCAGCTCTAGCTCCCCCCGAGGGTCAGCGGCTGGGACGGAGCAGCTAGGTCAGCAACACATTCACAGGGCAGGACCCGCCGTGATGGGGCAACAGCCCTGGTGTGCAGAGCGGTAGCACAGCAGCTGTGGTGGGCTGCAGCAGCTGGCCTGGGGGGGCTGTGGCCCCAAAGGGTCCCATGCTGACCCTGTCCCCCCAGCTGTGACACTTGGGGGGACAACTCCACTGGATTCAAAGCCCGCTCCCTTCCTCTCAGCACAGGTGCCCCGAGCCCAGGCCCGGACCTGCCCAGGGCCCCCATGCCCACCTGGCGAGTGCTGCCTCTCGGTGCTGCTCTGTGGCTCCCTGTCCCTGGGCAGCCCTATAACTGTCCCACGTGAGGGAGGGCAACAGTGTCCACGTCCCACTCAGCAGACAAGGCCCAAGGTCCCAGCTGTGGGGCAGAGAGGCAGGGTGTGGGGGCCTCCCTGCTGGGTCTGCAGCTGGCTGGAACCAAAGCTGCTTTTGTTAACTGGGCGTCAAGCTTGGCTGGGCACAAGGAGCCATGAGGGGCCTGGCGCCTCTGGTGCAGGAGCTGGCCCACACCCCACATCCGAGATCTAGTGTGACTCCACCTCTGACTCCATTCCTGCCGCTGTGCAACCTGGGATGGCTCACGTGCTTGGGCCCCCGCCACTCACACAGGACAGCACTCAGAGTCCCTGGCTCCTGGCCCCGCCCTGGCTACTGCAGGCAGCTGGAGAGGGAGCCAGAGCAGCGAGTGCCTCCTCTGTTCTTTTTTTAAGAGCAGGCAGGTGCTGGGACTGCCCTTTGGGAAAGCTCCACACTTAGGCCAAGGTCACAGGACACAAACACACACGTGTGCTGTGTGCCCCGGTGTGACCTGGCCCCAGGGCTTGGCTGCAGGGAAGCTCCTCAAGGCGAGCCACTCCGGGCATGACGGGGCCTGGTTGGGGACTGGCTGACACAACCGGAAAGCTGGAGCAACTCTAACACCCGGCCAGGGGCAGGCTCGAAGTGGCCCGTGAGCCGTGAGCCCGCAGTGGTGACGAGGGCCACGCTTGGTGAGGGCCTGGCAGACAGAACACAGGAGGAGCCACCCAGAGCACAGGTGCCAGTCATGCCCAGAACGCTTACACAAAACAAGCACAAAAAGACAAGATGCTACCAGCGTTGGGGCACACAGGGTAAGGCAGCCAGCTGTGAGGCCGGCACCCGCGTTTGAGTCCCGGCTGCTCCACGGCCGATCCAGCTCCCTGCTAGTGCACCTGCAAACGCAGCAGCAGATGGCCCGAGTGTACCCACGTGGGACTAGTTGGAATTCCGGACACCTGGCTTTGGCCTGGCCCATCCTGGCGACCTGGCCATTTGGGGAGTACACTAGCAGATGGATGAGTTACGGGTCTCTCCCTCAGTGTCTCTGTCTCTCCCTCAGTGTCTCTGTCTCTCTGTTTGTGACTCTGCCTTTCAAATACATAAACCTTAAAAATAAAAAAAGAGCAAAGCAGAGTGTGCTCTGAGGTGAGAGCTGGCTTTGCCGGCTCTAGGAAACATGGCTCATTTCCCCTCTGATCTCTACGTATCTTTGTGGGGCTTGGATATTTTATAATGAAAACAGTCACTGGGCCCGGCACAATAGCCTAGTGGCTAAAGTCCTTGCCTTGCATGTGCCAGGATCTCATATGGGTGCCAGTTCCCGTCCTGGTTGCTCCAGTTCCCATCCAGCTCCCTGCTTGTGGCCTGGGAAAGCAGTGGAGGACATTTCAAAGCATTGAGACCCTGCATCTGTGTGGGAGACCTGGAGGAGGCTCTTGGCTCCTGGCTTTGGATTGGCTCAGCTCTGGCTGATGCAGTCACTTGGGGAGTGAACCAGCAGATGGAAGATCTTTCTCTCTGTCTCTCCTACTCTCTGTATATCTGCCTTTCCAATTAAAAATAAACAGTATTCGTTTTTACATCTGTTAATGGTCTATCACCCCCTCCTACAAACCCCCAGAGGGACACCGCCCTCCCACCTGCCCACTTCCATCCCTGTCCCTCCCCCAGCCACCCCACAGGCAGCTATGACCAGGTTGATCCTTCCCTCCCCAGAGGCACAGCCCTGGGGAGCATTCAGCCAGCAGCAGGTGTAGGGGGGCTGGCTGGGCCCCAGGTGCTGACTGCTAGGTGTCTGCTCCCCAGCTCTCTGGGTGTCCCACCACCTTGGGGACAGCAGCAGCAGGGTACACAGCAGAGGCAGGGCGTCAGGAAGATGTGGGCTCCACCTGGGCTAGAGGAAGCTGAGACAAGCAGCGCACCGGGCGGCTGCAAGCCTCAGCTTCTCCACTGTAAAAGGAGACGGATGGGACCTGCCCAGCCCAGGACTGCGGGGTGGGACCCAGGACACAGCACCTGTGGGTGGCCCCAGATCAGCCTTTCTTTCCATTCCAGGTTCCCACAAACTCCAGCGTGGGGCAGCGTGAGAATAGGTCTCAGCGATACACACTCCGGGCAGCCTTCAGATGGAAGCCCTGCTCGGACACCCCCTGGCTGTGCAACCTCGACTCCACCCTGGAAACTGTGGGCAGTGGTCTGCCTTGGGGAGCGGGGCGGCTGTCGCATCCCTGGGACAATGACCACAGACTGCAGGCTCACGGGGCCAGGGGATTGCTGCAGTGACGGCCGCCGGGGCGCCCTCTGACGGCCCCCCTTCCTAGCTCCTGACCGCACCCCTACCCACACCCAGGAGTGGGACCGGCTCAGGGCCTGCCCCGCCACCTACCCACAGCGTAGATCTCGATGCTGATGGTGAAGATGGAGTGGGAGCGTGAGGAGTCCTTGTTCATGAGGGTGTAGCCCACCGAGCGGTTCTTCCAGCCCATCTCCATGATGCGCTCGCACTGTGCCACGTTGTGCACCGTGTGCATGGACAGCCCCTTCACATACACGCCCTTCTCCGGGTGCTCCTTCAGCTGCGGGCGGGACGGACTGCTCAGGGCTGCAGTTGCACTCAGCTCCACCCAGAACACACCTGCAGCCTCGGGCAGTCATTCCAGGCTGCCCTATCCCTGCCTCCTTCTTGTGGGACTTCGGGTTGTGACTCAGCGTGAGCCTCAGTTTCCACATTTGTACAATAGGTGAGATACCCATCTCATCCAGACACGGTGAGAATCCACTAAAATAAAGGGTGTTGGTGGTTCGGCATGGTGCCTCTGGCATAGGACAAATGTCCCCTAAATGCCAGCCGCCATTCCGAAGCTGCAGTGTCACCACTGGAAAGGCGGGTTTTAGCCTGGCAGCTGCCCTCACTCCTGGGACCCCAGCAGGTGACTGGCCATTTGCTACCACAGCCCACAGTGCCAGGGATGCCAACAGCTGTGCCAGCCTGAGCACAGAAGACACCAATGCTTCGCTCCAGGCACTTCAGGGCCTCCCCTCTGAAGGGCCCAGCCCAGGGAGTGGACCTGGGGCACAGGGCAAACAGGGTGGCAAAGCAAGGCTGAACAGCTTGCTCAAGGTCATGGCCATGGTGGGGCTCTAGCAGTGGGAGACTTCAGGGGCTGGGAGGAGACAGGCTGAAGCCTCTAGCAGGACAAAGGGCTGACCTTGACCGGGGAGGAGCAGCACAGGCAATAGAAGCAGGAGGCAGGATGTGGGGGGCAGGGCAGCCCCTCCAGCTGCAACCTCACCATCCACGGACTGCTGGAGGGCTGCCACCCCCAGAAGCTGGGACCCCAGCTGGCACAAAGACCCAGTGAGAGGGGATCCCAGCTGCACCAGGTTCCCTGTTTTAGACTCAGACGAAACCTGGTGCTGCCACCTGCTTCTCTCTTTGTCTCTCTCCCCTCATCTGTGAAATGGGAATGACACATTCTACTTGCATGAGACTGGCCTGCGCGTGAGGCCGACAATGGGTCTAAATAGCAGTTCAGCGCACCTGCGTCGGGGCAGGTCACATGGGCCTGGGAAGCCCCAGAAGATGCACCCCTGCACAGGACTGGGGGGCTCTCCATACTCTATCGTTGGTCCAGGAGGTTCTATTCCCCACCCCCACACCTGAGGGGACCCCAAGGAGTGCCCTTCCCAGCAACTCCCGACCCCACCCCCCCAGGCAGGGCTCCACTGAGAAACGGCCACCCACAGTGCACAGCTCCTCAGTGACTGCTCATCCCAGCTGCGCTGAAGCCAGAGCTGGGTTGCTATGACAACCAGCTGGGAAGTGGCAGGGACAGAGATGGACCATGATCCACCTCCGTAGGTTGAGGGAGCAGGCAGGCCCTTGACATGGGTTGTGTGATAGAGGTTTTAGTGGCTGCAGCAGGCATGCGGCTCTGCTTCCCCGATCTCTCGCAGGCAGATCTGTGCCAAGCAGGTTCAGGGCCCACACCGAGAGCACATGGCCCAAAAGACACAGCCCTGCTCTACCGGCTATGCAGCGGCTGGCCATGCATGGAACCTCTGTTCCTTCTCTGTTGCAAAGGATGAGAAAGTAACCGTGCCTTTGTGTCCTGTCCCCCTGCATGTCCTCCACAAGGCATGGGCCAGACTCATGGTGCCCCCCTGGGGAGTGGTCACAGGCAGTTCCTGGCAGCCCAGCTCACCCAGCCCTGGGTCCGCAGGAAGTGGGTGAGGGCATGAGTGGTCTGAGTTGGCGGGGAAGAGCAGGGGTCCCTGATGCCCCAGTCAGCAGGCGTTGTGCCTGCCTGCCAGCCTGCCTGCCGGCTGAGCCATGCAGCAGATGCACCCAGAGCCAGAAGGAGGGTACAGCTCCAGGTGGGTGGCTCTAGGTGGGCGGCCGTGGATCTCACACAGACAGGGCAGAGCACTGCTGCCTAGCAACAAGCCAGCTGGGGCAGGGCAGGGCCTGGGTCCTGCTCTGGACGGAGATCGTGCAGATGGCAGAAGCAGGTAGACAAAAGTTCCTGAAGGGCCTGTGCGGCTCTGCGTTGTAAGGATTTGTCTAGCTCCTCCCTGGGCTTGGGCTGCTCAGTTGGCCGCACAGTTGTCACCCATCCCCGGGACTTACAGACCTTCCCTCACAAACCCCAGGGTGCAGGGAGCAAGGAGTGAGCTGAGCAGGACATGAATGGCCTTGAGGGTCACTGCAGAGTGGGGGACCCTCCCAGTCAGGACCCCCAGTCAGGCTCCCCAGCCCACAGCAGTGACGGGGCATGCCCTGGGGATCATGGCTAAGGTCCAGCATGGAGTCTAGCTCCCAGCCCTGTGGCCTCAGCAAACCTCCTCCTCTTTCTGAGTCTGTTCCCCTTGGGTAAAGTCGGTGTCTCCATAGCACCCTCCAAGCACTCCTTGAGGACTAAGGATTCCCCACGGAGGTGGGCTGGCCCTAGGCCACCCACAGGCCTCTGGGGGCCCTGGGGGTCTGGCCAGGCAAGCAGCGTCAGAGCTGCAGGAAACGGACAGGTCACCAGAATTCTGGCCGTGGATTTGTATCAGCACCCCTCCCCCCACCGCTGCTGGTCTATTCTTCCAGACTCACCCCACGACCAAAGCTGCTCACCAAAGTGCAGGCCAAACAACCCCAAGCAGAGCCAGCCTGGCCACTCACTGGCTGCCCAGTCCTGCCAGGTCTTTCAACCTCACTGGGGTCCCTAAGGGACCAGCCTGGTCCGCCTATGGTGACAAGAGGGAGGTAACACCACTTCCGCTGCCCCCTGCATTTGGCCACTTAGAGACCAGGGACAAACAACAGGCAGTGGGCAGTGGCCGCCCACGGAGCCAGCCCTAAGCTTGGCTGCTCTGAGCGGCCTGTGCCCCTGAGGCTCCACTCTGCAGTGCCACCCCAGCACGGCTCTCCATCCTGCTCTCAACACAGCCACCGCCACCAGAGCTGGGTCCACGCGGGACTCCTCCCCAGAGGCATAAGGTCCCACACTGAACCCTTCTATAAAATAGGGTGTGTGAGGTTCCGGATCTCCGCGACCCCTCCCCATGCTGGCAGCCTGGAGGTTTCTGTACCCCTTCCCCATGCTTGCGGTGTGGGGGTCTCAGCCACCAACCAGATGACTTAGCAGGAGGCAGGAGGATGTGCCAACAGCCGGTAGGCAGGAAGGGCTTAACAGGTGACCATTGCTATGGCCTTTTTTTCAGCACAGGGGTCTTTACAGATTCCCTGAGCACTCCTTGTGTAGCAGTTAAAGGCTAGTAGTGTAGTTAGTCAAATGACGCCTATCACCAACTCCGTGTTTGAGCAGCTGCGGGGGCACCCAGGAGACACCGTCGCCCGATGATCGGGGAGGCCCATTATACTTCCCCTGCACCATGAAATCTGACTGAGGACACTCCACAGTCCAAGTTCAAAGTCCCCACCTAGTGTGAACTGGCACGAGAGCCCCGGGGCAGGAGCAGCATCCCCCCTTCCGCCACCCCTGCACCCACCTCCAGCTTCTGCTTGGTGTCTGCCCCCAGCAGATCCCGCACGTCCTCATTGTAGATCTCCAGGTAGGAGGCCCGCACCAGGAACTTGGTGTTCTCTGCGCACTGCAGGGTTGAGAAGCACAGACAGGACTGAGCTCCAAGCCACCGGCTGCCCAGCCCGCCCTGGGCTACAGTCCTCTGCAGCCAGGGAGCGGGAGAGGCCAGGCCTCTCCAAGCTGCACTGTATCCACCTGCTATGCCCAAGGTTCCAGCCATAAGCCTCAGGGACAAGAGCAAAGTCCTCCCTGGGGTCAGGTGAGGCTCAAGCCAGCCCCAGCTCCCAGCTGCTCCCTCACAGGCCAGGTTCTGCCATTTCCCATTGGGGGACTTTCCACCCAGTGCCACCCATGGTCCCCCTACAGCCCGGGCACTGGGAAGGACTTGCCCCGGCCATCAGGGGCTCCAAGTCTCAACCCCCCCCCACCTCAGAAATGGGCTCTAAGTTACCCCCTGGTCTCGAAGCTTGGTGACCTCATTAGGCAAAGAGCTCCCCACACAGGCTTGGACAGTAGCAATGAGTTAATCCAAACAGAAGCTCAAGACAGGTCCAAGCCAGGGCCACCGGGAGTTCGGGACCAACATCACCATATCCTAGGGTGACCTTGTCTCTACCAGCTGCCCAGAAAACAGTGCTCACCCTGCAGCTGTGAGCCTGCAAGGCCAGCCCCTGACAGCACAGCCTGGCAAGCCCTCCACCCAACGCTGTACCTGCACACTCTCAAACACGTGCTCAAAGGCCCTGGGAATGATGCCCCGCTGGGAGGGCGGGTCCGGCAGGCCCTGCATAGTGAAGGACTTCCCGCTGCCCGTCTGGCCGTAGGCAAAGATGGTGCCATTGTAGCCCTCGGTGACACCCTGCGTGGGAGGAAACCCAAGTTGGTGCTCAGCAGGGGTCCAGGGCAGGGTCAAGGTGGACAGTGAGGCGCCCCCCACACTAGACTGGGACCCTCCCTGGACCTCCTGCATAACGGCCCTGGCTGCAGTAGAGACTAGTAGAGCTCGGAGAGTTGAACCCTGAGGCTCCCCTGCAGCTACCGGATAATGTACCCAGCCTAGCTCTTGCTGTGACCATTTGGGGGGTGAACCAGTGCATGGAAGATCTCTTTGCTTCTTTCACTCTGCCTTTCAAATAAATCAAATAAATCTTTAAAAAAAAAAAAAAAAAAAAACAAGCAAGCATTTAGGCTCTGCCCTGCCAGGGGTTTGCTGGGAAGGAGAGGGAGGAACTGCTTGAGGGTGATGAGCCTGCTGGGGGATGTGGCCCGGGGCATTCATGTCCCATCTGCACCTTTGGCTGTGTGCCCACGGCCAGGTGTGCCTCGGTGTGCCCATCTGTAATAAGGGCAGAGAACACCTGCTGCTGGGCCTACCACACTGAGGCACACTGCAGCAGCACCCGAGAGCAGGCACACAGGGCGCTTGCTCAGTGTCCCCCTGCACTGTGGGGGCAGGACAAGCACCACTGACACCTGTAGCAGACAATGACAGGCACTGCACACGAAGAGGTGGCCAAGAGGGCAAGGGGGCGGGGCGGGGAGGCAAGAACTCGGCAAAGTCTCCCAGGGCCATCAGGAACCAAAAGGGAGGTATGGGTTCCCACAGGGCTGCAGGCACAAGACTCATGCCAGGCCGCATGGGAGCTGAGCGTGGATGGAGAGGTGGGAGCTGAGAGCAGGTGCAGGGAAGGATGGAGAGAGGACAAGGCTGCCAAACAAAATGCAGGCGAAACAGCCCATCTCCTGGACTTTCTTTACTTAGCCAGCATCTGTCCACCCGCCGTACACACAGAGCACATGAGGTCACAGATTCTAGAACTTACCATGGAACAGAGTGTTGGAATGTGGACCTGGAGGGCTGCTGCCACGCCTCGGGGCCCGTATGACACCCCAGGACCATCATGTGGACAGAGTGGGGTGTGGCCATCTCAAGGGGACTAAGGTCAGTGTTCCCAGCTGCCCACAAGATAGGTAAGCATGCACTCCCTCCCGCGGAAGCTGGGACTCGGGAGTGGACACCTGCAGGGCAGGAGCAGGAGACCACCTGCCCACGAGCACACTTCTAAAGCCCTGTGGCCAGAGCAGGCGCACTGGAGGCTCAGGAGCCTCATCCCCGGAACCTCGTGTGGCCCTGACACTCAGCTGGAGGAGTGGCAGTGCCAGGCTGCCCCACCCACTGAAGCAGTCCCCAGCCCCCACTAGGGAGCACCCATGTGACTAAGGAACTGAACTTCCAATTAATTTAGATTTAGAGCCACAGTTTCACCGCTGTGTTAACGTGTTTAATTCAGCTGAAGGGCCCAGAGGGAGAGGGAGTCAGACATCAGACAAGTTCCCATCCACTGGTTCACTCTAGGATCCAGAAACTCAACAAGGATGGCCGGCACCTGCTCCTTTCAGAATGCACATCAGCAGACAGTGGAACAGGAAGGGGAGCAGACACCGGTGACCCCAAGCAGCTCCCTTACTGCTACACCAAACGCCCACTTCCAATTCAACTGCTGGGACATTAGCATAAAACATAGGCTGGATTTTACATAGTATGAAGAAAGGATGTAAGAGATTTCACTAATATTATGCAATGAAAATAATACCCATTTGCATCTCAGGGAAGCAATATGTTGTTAATATGAGCTGAAATATTTGAATCTGTTTCCTTTTGCTTCACAAAATGTGGCTCACTTGGTATTCATACAGAAAGACTTGGCTCAAGAGCTGTGCCAGGCACATGGCAGCTGCTAGCCACAGGGGTTAAATTTGATCTTACAGAAACCAAAACTTCCAGTTAAATTAGCATTCAGAGGGCCATCACCACGGCACAGTGCGTTAAACTGCCACTTGCAGTGTCAGTTCAAAGTCCCGGCTGCTCCACTTCCTAACCAGCTTCCTGAGAACTTGGCCTGGGAAGGCAACAGCCGATGGCCCAAGCACCTGCACCCCTCCCACTCATGTAGGAGACACGGGTGGATCTCCAGGCTCCTGGCTTCAGCCTGGCTCAGTCCCGGCAGTTGGGGCTATTTGGGGAGTTGAATCAGAGAATGGAGGAAATCTTTTTCTCCCCGCCACCCACCCCAACTTCCCTCTCTCCTTCCTTCTCTGTCCCTCTGCTTGCAAATAAACAAATTAAAAAAAAAATTAAAATCCAGCCCCCCGGTGGCACTCAGTGGCATCTCACTTGCGCCATGTGGTTCATGGCTATCATAGGACAGTGCAGCCACTGAGCGCGACCACTGTCACAGAAGGTCCCTCGGCTCAGCTCCAGATCTCCAGACCTAGCGTTCCTCCACCCACGGTCTGCCACAGCTCTGCAGTTAGGGACCAAACAGTTTCCGGGAGATCAAGGGTTAACCAACTCTTTAACTCGGGGCTGTCCTGGGACTGGGCTCCGTGAGCTGACCAGGTAGTGATGGGGAGATGGATCAGCTGGAATGAGGGTCCTGGGTGGGCAGCTTCCAGGACAGGTGACACGTCACCCAGTGACAAGGTCAGGACGGGAGCCTCTATCTGAAGGAAGGGAGGAGCACGCAGGACCCAGAGGGACTGTCCTGGGCAGAAGTTGTCCAGGCTGTCACGGGACCCCGGAGCCACCAAGACTGCCAGCCTGGCCTGCCCAGCGCCACTGCTTCTAGGCTGTAACGTGCTTGCTGGCTGCCCTTCTAACAGGAGGCAGCCGGACGGGGCAGGGGATGCTGGCGCCAGGCTCAGCACCAGCCCTAATTCCTTCTGCAATTCTCCAGTCTTCAGGGTCCCCAGCTCTTCTGAAGACCAAACCCGCCCGCCCGCCTCCAGCCTGGTTCCACCCAGAGGACCGCTCTCAGAACTGGCTGACTCCACTCAGCCTTCAGATCACAGCCTCTGTGACACCTCTTCCAGGAAGTCCTCCTGCTCCTCCCATCCACGCCTCTCTCCACCTATATCCAGGCTTGGGAGCATCCCTGTGTTGCCAAAGCCTCCAGGTTTCCCCTGCTGACTCATCCCCCTGGATCCCAACTGTTGGCTTTGCTGCTGCTCCTCACTAACTTGCTAAGAACAGAGACGCTGCCCCTTGCCCATGAGCTGCAGGAGGGACCTGAAGGGCTGTCCTGTCTGCCTCCCTCTATGGGCTGGGGCTGCCAGGGCCCCCACAAATGGCTGGCCCAGGGCCATGCTCCAGGCCGAGGAGGGGACCCAAGCTCCCACAAGGCAGAAGGGGCTGCTTTGGGAAGCTTGAGCACCTGTCGGGGCAGATGTGCTGGGGAGAGCTGGTGCTGCTTTGGTGGCCTTTGAGGATCCAATAGGGAACAAGAACTGGGTCAGGTGACCCCCTGGGACCCTTCCAGTTGGAGAGTGGAGTCAAGGCACAACCTTGCTAAGTCTCAAAGCCTGGAGGGAGCTGGCCCTCATGCCTGGGGCATCATCTCTGGCTGGGGGAGCTTCGGACCATATCAGCTCATTCCAGGCTTGGACTGACTCTTGGCACAAGAGATGGGGACCCAAGGGAACTGCTGCAGGCAACACCAGCATTCCGTGTCTGAGCGCTGGTCCTGACCTGTCCTGGCTACTCCACTGGAGCAAACCATGTCCCCTACCCTCTCTCTTTCAAATACCTGAGCCAGTGTTTAACAGAGGATAGCGTAGGAAACAGATTAGCTCCAGCCAAGCTCACTGGGAGAGCCTGGCCACGCTGTCCCCAGGAGTGAGACCCCAGGGTCCTTGCAGCAAGAGGCAGAGCCGTGTTCACAACCTCGGGGCTGCCCCCAAGCTAGGGCCAGGGCCACCAGGAGCCAGCTGCACTCACACCACAGTGAACTCCATGAACTCCACTCACGTGGAGAGTGGCAAAGGCGAGGCTGGCCTGGGGCGGGGGGGGGGGGGGACACAGGAGGCTGGACAGAAAGCATTCGGGGCTTCCAGGGATCCCACGAGGGGGTACCCGTCGCGGGGGGCGGGGGGGTTCTCAGCAGGAGCAAGAAGGGGCACTGGGCACAGCGGAGTCCAGGACGCCATCTCCTGTCTGCACAGACGTCGGCTGCTGTCCACCTGCGCCAGCTCTCCCCGCCCCCCGCCCAGCCCGCGCGCCTGGGGGCAGGGCCGTCCCTAGGCGCACCTCCACCAGCGGGTAGGCGATCTCGTTGTAGATCTGCTCGGTGACGTGGTCCGTGTGGTAGGCGCCGTCGAAGGTGAACTGCTTGGGGGGCTCGTCGGCGGCGCCCGGGTTCTGGATGAAGCACTGGCCGCGCGCGCAGTCCACCGTCACCACAGGCTGGCAGTGCAGCTCCCGCTCGCGCAGGTTCATGGGCCGGCAGCGCACGACCACCTTCACCGCCTCCGCGGCCATGGCGCGGCCGGCGCCCGCGGGGGGCAGGGGCTCGCGGCGGGGACGGATCCGCGGCGGGAGGGGCGGGCTCGTCGGGGGGCGCCCCCGGAGGAGGGGGCGCTCGGGACACTCACAGGGCCCAAGCCGGCACGGCCGCCGCCTTCTCCAGCGCCCGGGCTCGCCCGTGCCTGGGCCTGGGCCCCGGCGGGGAAAGGGGGTGCGGGGGTGGGGTGGGGGGATCCGCGCTGCAGGCGCCGCCGCAGGACCCGAGCCCCGGAGCCGCCGGCTCGCGCGCGCGCGCACACCGCCAAGGCGTTCGCGGTTGCCGGGCAACGGCCGTGGCGTCACAGGGGGATGCAGCGCGAACCCCACGTTCTCCAGGGCCGGAGCCCCCGCGTCCGTCACCCGCCGAAGCGGTCCAGGTCCAGCAGCTGACTCGAGGATGCCCTGCCATGACGGGACCCGCAGGCTGGACTCCACTTCCTTTCCCAGACACTGAGAGTGCCCGCTGTCCTTTACCGACAGCTCAGCTCTGGTGTGCGTCGGTGCAGGGGGCGGCAGCCTGGAGCCCGAGCCCTCCCTCCCCAGCTGTCACCTCGTTTTTCCTAAACCTCATGATTTTTCAAAGCTTTAGGAGTCGAACCCTTTGGGCAGGCAGAGGCAGTCTGGCCCAGCCCTAGGGGCCGGCCAGGGGAGCCTCTGGACGACTCCCGCAGAAAACCAGGGTGAACTCAGTGCCTCCTGCAACCCGCAGCCCAGCAGAGGAGACTGTCCCCGGAAGCCAACATCCTACAAAGCGGTTAGCGCGCCGCGGACCCAGCACACCTGGACCGGCAGAGGGCGGCTCGCACTCCCACTCCTGGAGAGCCGCCACGGGCAGCCTGGGACCAAGCTGAAACATCAAGGCTGAGCATGAGGCCCGTCCGGGAGGAAGGGGAGGCCGTGGCGGCCACCTAGGCTGTGCCAAGGCCCTGTGGCATGTCACAGGAGCAGAGAGCAAGCTCCAGTAGCCAGCGCTCAAGGCACCAAGCATTGTTCCTACAGCACCTTCCCCTGAAGGTGTGAAGGAGTCGGACCTGGCTGATCACACCCCCTACCCAATTCCTTCCGGAGATCCTGAGCCCAGCCCATTCAGCACCAAGCGGCCAGACAGAGGCCCCACCTTTCAAAGGAGCCTGTATCTGAAGAGGGGAGGAAATGCACTTTATTTGTGTCCACACAGCTGAGCTGCCCACGTGGCGTAGGCTGGAAAACACACACACACAGAGCTGTGCTCTGATGTTAGGACATTGAGAAGTCAGCACCTGTGGGCCAAAATGCTTGCCCTAGGTGTAACTTCTAACCAATAAACGTTGCCAGGATGCCGGCCGGGCACCTGGCCCCAGACCTTGCCAGCATGCAGTCAGACCCATGCCTCCCACAGGGGTGCCTGGGCCAACTCCAATATTTCATGGACCGTCTTCCCAGGCACAGGAAAGCGCAAAACCCTCTCCCTGCTAGAGGAATGTGAGGCTGCAGAGGGAGGGAAGGGGGACAGGGTGTCCTCCACTGCCCATGCCCAGGGATGGGAGGAGTTGCAGCTGAGATGCTGGGAGAGGGGCCCAGCTGCCCACTCCCATTTGACACGGATCAGGATGGCCTGCCCCAACAGAGGACACCCCAGTGGACAGCTCCCTTGTGTTACTAGATTGATGAGACAGTGACAAGGCCACTGGCCAGGACTGTCCTGAGCGGAGCTGGGAGTGGTGGCCGTCTCTGCCACCCAAGGGTGACAACCTGTTGCTTGCGAGCGTGGCGGGGCCTCTGCCTCGGGAACAGGTATTCCGTAACTTCACCAGCACACCCGTGCTGGCCTGCCAAGTCCACTCAAAGCAGAAAGGGGGGTAACCTAGATTTGTCAGTCGTCAGCAGGACCACTACCTAGACCCATCTCATGGGGCTGGCCTGGTGAGCTGAGCTGAGACCTGACAGCCATGCCAGCCACAAACCAACTGGGTTAGGCATGGGTCGGCCTATGCCTCTCTGACAGCGGGGTGAGCTGGGAAGGAAACCCCAGTCAGGGCTCCCGACCCATCCTGGCAAGCTCCTGTGCCAGGAGTCAAGCAGTACGCCAGAGGCAACAAGATGACAAAGCCCCCAGACTGTGGGCTGTGAAGCGACAGAAGACCCACGCGAGGGACACAGCAACCAGAGGACCCGCTGGCCAGTGTAGATGAGAAGGGCAGAAGGCTGCGGAGCTTGCAGTCCGAATGAGGTGCAGCCCTGGACCCCGTGGCCTCCTAGCCCAGGCCCTGCAGCTCCGCCTCCGATTTTGCATGGCTGAGGGGCCGGAGAGTCCGAGGCGGCCTGCCCTCATGGCCCGAGTCTTGTTCCTCGTAGGTGGGGTTCAGGCGGCCCATGTCCAGGGGGCAGAAGAGGCTGCGCTCGGCACCTGAGTGGCTCTCCACCAGGGCCTCCAGGCTGGGGAAGTCGGCCGGCAGGTGCTGGCAAAGGAAGGGGCTTCAGCATGGGGGGCCCTTCCTGTGGCTTGCACCCAGCGCCAGCATCCTAGGGCTCAGGTGACATGTGCTATCGCGGAAGGGCCACAGACCACTTCCTCTCGCCCTCACTACCTGACCACTCCAGCCTGACCCTGGCTGACACCCAAAGGGAGACTCAGGTTGTGTGGGCTTAGGCAAGGTCATGCCCCTCCATGTGGGTTCCTGCTTGGCTACCCACCGGCTAGGGTATGGGGAAGCAGGATTTCTAAGAGCCAGGATCCCAGCAGAAATGTGAAGTGTCACTCAGTCCAGCTCTATCAGGGTGCCCTCGGGGAGCACCCTCTAGATTGGGGACCCTCAGTGACCACGAACCCTCCAACTTTTCCTCCAAGAGCGCTTTGCTCGGGCCTGGACCAATGAGGAAGGATCAGGAGCAGGGTAAGGGAGGCGAGATAAGGGGCAGGGCCAGCTTGAGCTGTGATGAGGGTGAAGCCACCAGTGGGGCGGAGCCAGGCCCCTCCTGCACTCACCTCCAGGCAGTAGCGGCCCACGTGGTTGCGGAAGATCTGGTGCGGCACCACGCCGCACTGTGTCCGCACCGACAGGCACCACTGGCCGCTGGTGCCTGGCTCTGGCCACAGCAGGAAGGCTCCAAGCACATCTCTCCGCAGCAGGGCCAGGGCACTGGGCCTGGGGGATGGAGGGCAGGAGAGGCTGTGGGCAGGATCCCTAGTCTGGGGCAGCCTTGGCCAGTCCCCCTGAGCAATGGACAGGCCCTGGGCTTGGAATGGCACTGGGGTTAACTGTTGTTCTTTGTTGCTAGCCTCAGGACCCCAACAGGAGAAGGAGGGAGCCATGAAGCAGGTCAGCAGCTGGCCATGTTCCCAGGGTCCCTCACTGGAGCTCCCCACAGCCCTGCCACCAAGGAGGTCTTCTCATTATCTCATCTCACATTTAAGAAGACTCAGGGGGCCCAAGGTCCGCGGAGCTGGGGAGCTCTGTCTGTGCACAGAGATGGGCCTGGTAAGAGTGCCAGGGGGAGGGGAGAGTCCACCCTCTCACCCTATGCCCACAATAGAACTAAGCATCAGGCCAGGCCAAACCTACGCCCCTCCCCCAAACCTGGAGACGCCGGCGAAGGCCCAGATGTTCTCCGTCAAGCTGCCTTCGCTTTCCACCAGGCACGAGGAGCCTCCAGGACCCCGGGGCCATGCCTCCCACGCAGCAGGAACTGTGGAGACCCCATTCAGGGTCAGAGGAAACAGGGCCTCCCACTTCCTATGCTAGGCGTGCCCTCCATGCAGGTCCCAGCATGCTAGATGGGTCTCCTCCCAGCCCTGCCTCGCGGGCACACCAAGCTGAACAGTGGCACCTGTGCAAGCCCCAGGCACTCAGACTGGGCTGTCTGTGCACCTGCATACACAGGTATGGCACTTCCACACTTGCACAGAGGCACCAGTCTTGAGGTGCAGCCACTGCCCTGCAGATCAACCCTTGCTGGCCATGCCCTGCGATGGGCACCAGTGCACCAGGGCGACTCACAGGCTTCACGTGCCGACAGCTGCAGTTGAGCCTCGTGCGTGCAGGCCCGGTAGGCCCCGGAGCGGATCACCTTGCTACGGATGGCCTTCTTGCGGACCAGCGTTGGGGAGCAATAGGGATTCCCCAGGCGGCCGTGGCGGGCGCCCCCTCGGCCCTCCGACTCTGACAGCTCCTTCTAGGGCACCCAGGGAGAGGCTGTGGGAAGGCAGACTCGGCCCCAGCTACTGGGGTGCAGCCCCCAACCCTCCCCCAGTTCTCTTCCCTCCTCCTGCCCATCCCTGGCTGGGGGCACTGCATACCCCACTGCCCACCGGCCCCTCTGCTGGCAGCCGCCGGAAGGAGACCAAGGCGTGGACGTTCTGTGAGAGCTGATCCCGACCGAAGGGCTCCCGCACCAGGGCCGGTGGGCCCCCTGCGGGCTTTCGGGGCTCATCCCATGTGGGGGCCTGGCAGGGCTCAGGTCGTGCCCTCTCCTCAGGGTGCTGCAGGAGGTAGGCGAGCTGGAAGGAGCGGCAGAGTAGCAGGTGCAGGATGTGGATCTAGGGCAGGCAGAGGCAGCTGCCGTCGGATGGGGCACCCGGTTATCACCACAGTCGTGTACAGCCCCTCAACCAGGAGTGCCCTGTCTCACTGGGCCCCAGAACCTCACCACCAGGCTCCCGCCCCAGCCTCCCTCCCTCAGCAGGAACAGGGACAGCTGCCCCTAGAGAGGGTGCCAAGAGTCCAGGCCCTGGAGTCTGGCCCCGGGTTCCAATCCTGGCCCCATTTCTCAGGAACACCTGGGTGACCATGGCCTTCTCCATGATCCTTTGAGGAGTTCATGAAGAGGCCAAGCAGAGGCTCCGGACTTGTGTGCTGACTGCAAGACATGCCACACACTGGAAGACCAAGCACCAGGTCGCGAGCAGAGGTCAGCCTGGATCCAGCATGGGGCTGGACGCACACGGCAGCAGTGAGCAACAGCCTCAGCGCCTGTCTGCCGACCCTGGGGTCCCGGGGCTCTGCAGCTGTCTCGCCTTGAGCTTCTCAGATGGCTCTGTCCTCACCACCCCAGTGGAGCGCACGCAGCCCAGCCTGGTCCAGCCTCTGCTCTCCAAGAACTCAGACAACCGCCATTAGGGACAAATAGATAGAGGGTTGGGGATGAGGAGGGCGCCGCAGGAGCCTCGGGAACACGGAGGCTGAGCCTCAAGCACAGAGGAGAGACAGGGCAGAGGCCACGGCACAGGCAGAGGCCACGGCACGAGCAGAGGCCTGGTGCTGGCTGCACTCCTCAAAGCCAAGGACAGGCTCTGGCCTACAGGCTGCCAGGGGCCACTGAGGCCACGGACCTGCTCTCCAGAGCCTCCAAGGTGACAATGTGGACAGGGGCTCTGTGCCTGCAGGCGGCCAAGACGGAAAGGCCACCTGATGTCTGGCCCATCCCCTTCTCCATCCTCAGCAGGACCTCCCCACCCCCACCCACCCGCCTTATGGCCCAGGCACCTCTCCTGGCTGCCTGCCCACGAAGAGGTGGCAGAACAGCTTGCTGGCCGGGCTCCGTGGGTTCCGCGCGATGAAGGCAAATTGGCAGTCAGCTGGGCACCAGGTGGAGTAGAGGATGCGCCTCAGGGCATGCGCCATCAGAAGCACCTACGGGTCGGGGGTCGGGGTGCTCATGGCCTCCATCAGGCCAGCTCCAGCCACCTGGCTCCTGCTAGCCCCCCTACACCCCTCAGGTGGCCGTGGCCTTGGGATGTGCCAGCCTGTGGGTGGGATTGTGACCCAAAGGCAGAGCTTGCACAGATTACTGGGTCAGAGACAGGCAGTAGTGCAGGCCCGGGCTTGCAGCCTGGGCTCTGAGGCACATGCCAAGGGTTCAAGTCCTAGCCCTGCCACAGCTCCTCCACATGCCTTGGTGTGACATGGCTCAAGTAAGGAGACACTAGTCCCTCTCAAACAGGTGGTGGTTGACACCTCATGCCAGCAGCTCAGTGCTTGATGCCAAAGCCCATGACATGCCTGGACCTTAGGTGATGGAGGCCCACAGTCACGGGGAGCACAGCACGGTATGACCCATGGTCAGGGTCCATTCTGTACCAGGAGAAAGAGTGGGCCGTCTCCAGCCCCGGGGGGGTGCCAGGCAGAGGAACGGGGCATCTCCAGCCCTGGGGGGTGCCAGGCAGAGGAACAGGGCATCTCCAGCCCCGGGGGGGTGCCAGGCAGAGGAACGGGGCATCTCCAGCCCTGGGGGGTGCCAGGCAGAGGAACAGGGCATCTCCAGCCCCGGGGGGTGCCAGGCAGAGGAACAGGGCATCTCCAGCCCCGGGGGGTGCCAGGCAGAGGAACGGGGCATCTCCAGCTCCAGGCTCCCAGGCAGCCTGGCCTGCTCCTCAGCAGGGCTGGGGGAGAACCTCCCTGAACCCGCCCCCCACAAGCACCCCAGGAGGCAGGGCTGAGGACAGCCCTGGGGTAGATGCCCCACTCGGAGCCCCTGAAACTCCTACCTCTCCCTCCCCACTGTAGATCTTGAGTCCCTGGAGGCTGAACTTGAGGATGACAGCCCGGCGGCGGGGACAGTCCTGGGTGGAGAGTCGGCAGGAGTAGCGTCACCTCTCCATCCCAGCCTCGGGGCACCGTGAACCCGCTGTGCCACCCCCAGGGGCCAGGGAAGAGTGGTGGCTCCTCGCTCACCATCCCCATCGAGGCCACACTGTGAGAATCTCCCGTGATCTCCCAGCCGTGGGGCCCTGCACAGCCCCGAGGGAGGGGGTCCCGGGCCAAAGGAGCCATGTTCCCTGGGGACAGCTGGCCTCCGAAGGGGCTCATCCTCCCGCCAGGTCGTGGCCCCCACGGGGGACACCCCCCCAGCGCCTCCACCTTCAGCAGCCACAGCTGTTGCTGCACCAGCCACACGCTCTCCTGGGTGTCCAGGTCGTCCACAGGGAAGGAGCCCACGTACTGTTCAGTGGTGGTGTGGCAGGGAGCAAGGAAGGTGGCAGGGGTCAGACCCAAGGCCCCTGGCCACCCTTCTCCAGATCCCCCTGACCCAGACATACTCTGCTCAGTCAGGCAAGCTGTGGGCTCTGCCATGTCCCTGCGGATCCCCTCCCTCACCTGTACACACCCCCCCCCCACTCCAAAGCCACTGGGGGAAGGGAGACACGGAAGTAGTTCCTTGACCCTCAGCCTCCCCTACCCAGACAGGGCCACCCACAAGCCAGAGCACCCAGGCTGGGCAGCCCCACCCACCTGGGCAAACTTGGTGATGCACCTGGGCCGGTACAGGGCAGGCCCGCAGTCAGAGGCCCTCCGGCCCCCTGCCCCCGCCCGCTGCATGGCCTTGGGATGCCCAGCTTCAAGATTGCCGTGATTGAAAGCTGACTGAAAGCTGTAGGGGGCGAGGGGGGAAGGGGAGGAGTCGGTTCCAGGCAGGGGAGCCGAGCAGCTCCTGCCGAGGCCCCAGGAGCTCCTCTGCTCCTTCCCAGTCCTTTGCCAACTCATCCAACAATCCCCCCAGGCCACAGGCGCTGGGGACACAGACTAGCAGACAGTGATCTTTCTATTTCACACCACGATGAGGAGAGAGACACCAAATTACACACCTCGCGATATGACAGGCTGCGCCGGCCCGGCCCTGCCAGGAGCGGAGCTGAGCACAGGCCACCGCTCACTTTGTTCAGCAACTCCAACCCCCAGAGAGCTGAGAGCCTAAAGCCTCACGGCCTCTGTTCCCAGCAGGGGGAGCGGGGTGGGGGTGCAGACTGTAGGCACCACCTGCCTGGGAAGGCGTCAGAGGGGTGTGAGGGCCTCGGGCATGGCCTGTACAGGCAGACGCCAGGTGGGCAGCTGGGCCGAGGCAGAGCCGCCCTATGGCAGTGGCAGTCTGACCTGGTACGCAATCAGTCTTCAATGCCAAACTGGGGAGCTCTGCTTTGTGGGCAGTGGAGAGCCAAGGCAGGTTCTGGGGTAGGGCAGCCCATGGGGTGGCCATGAGCCAGCTGGGAGAGCTAAGGCTGGGAGCCTGATTCAGGCACCCTGGCTTATTTGGCGTGGCCTGGCCCCCCGGCCCTACCCAGAACCCAATGCAGACCATAAAATCCGAACCCATGTGAACTTACAGTTACCCAGCATCCGGGTAAGGAGAAGGTGGTCAATCACACACACCCGCTTGTGGGCAGAGAAGCGGCCTCCGTTAGCATCCTCCAGCCACCCCAGCACTGAGCCAGGGCAGGGCAACCCATGTGCTCACACCAGTCAGAGGGGCACAGTGCCTCTTCCCAGCAAGCCCAGGACTCAGCCCCCCAGTGTCTTCCCAGGTCCCCTTAGCTGTGTCTGACAGGGACCCTCCACGACACTAGCTGGCCTGGGAGCTTGTGCAGGTGCATGAGCCTTCTAAAGAGCCGCAGCTGCTTGAGGTCTTGGCAGCCAGGGTCACAGGTGGGAACTACGCTGCACAGTGACAGCAAGCGCTCTGGGGTCCCTCCCAGCCCAAGACCTCCCCCTGCTCTCTGGCACCTCTGCTGCAGATCCCAGTGTGCCCCCCTCCTTTTGAACTGGTTAGCTGTGCAGCTGGCACAAAAGGGGCTTAGAGGCTCCCCCTAGCTTGAAGTCGCATCTGGGGGCTGGGATGGACGTAAGAGTCCAAGAGCAGAGAACAAGGGAGAGAACTCAGGACATGGGGTGGTGGGCAGGGAGGGGTGGGGAGGAGAGCAGAGCCGGAGGGTTCCCAACCCCACCTCCAGGCTGACACCCCTCCCCGCCCCCGGCACTGAGAGGGCAAGGGGGTGTGAGCCAGGTGAGCAGCACACTGGTAGGCTTGCTCTCCACCAGCCCCAGTGCGCCCAGGCAGGGGTGGGCGGGCTCACCCTCCCCCTGCACCCTCCCCCTGCACCCTCACCTGATCCTAGCTCTCCACCTCCAGAAGCTCTCGTCTTCAGCCTTCTCCGAAATCAGACGCTCTCCCTCCCCTCCACGGCTCCACGGGGGGTCGGGGGGCGGGGAGAGGGAGGAGGAGGGGAGGGGTGGCTGGGACAGGCTGGGACCACTTGGACAGGGTTGGGCTTTGCCAGGTGGCCCGGCTCAGGGACAGACGGGCGCCCCTCCAGGGTCAGGCACGGAGGCCCCTCAGCCGCACAGAGCCGAGCGTGGGGCCGGGGGTGGGGTGGGACTCAGGTATGGGAAGGCACCTGCTCGCAGCCAACGCGGGGGTGGTGGGGTGCAGCAGGCGGTAAAACCAGCGCCCTGGGGCACTTCCCTGAGGCCGGGCACCGTCGCTGGCGCTCTCCTCCTCTCGTGGACAGGGGTCCGCCGCGGCAGCGGGCTGCGTCCCGGCCTGGTCAGGTCCCACTCGGGCGCCTCCCTCGCCAGGGGACCTGCAGCTGCTCGGAGACCGAGGTCCACGCAGCCGGGCGCAGCAGTTGGAGGTGGGGTCTGACAGGGTGGGACCCCCCCCCAGGCGAGTCACTCCCCCTGCCTCAGTTTCTCTGCCGTGCGCTGATCTTGGGGCGGCAGCAGCCAGCCTCGCGGCTGCTCCCTAACACGAAGTGCCCGCTTCCGCGGGGCGCCCAAGCTGCGGCCGGGTGCGCGGGGGACGGAGTTAGCGACGGAGAAAACGCGCAACAGAGAAAAGAGCGCGGGCTGCGTGCGCGGAGCTGCGGGGGTGCGACGCTCGCCCGGCCCGGCCCGAGCCGCGCGCGGTCCCCGGCGTGGGCTGCCCGCGCCGCCGCCCCGCAGCCCACCGAGCGCGGGCCCCGGTCGCCCTGCGTCCCCGCCGAGGGGCGAGCGGGACGCCCGAAGCGGCGACCCCGGCGCTGACCGGGCGCTCCTCGCGGCCCTCCCGTACCCCGGCCTCCCTCGCCACCTGCACTCACGCGCGTCCGCCGCGTCCCGAGCCCCGCGCGTCCCCCGCGCCGCGGCCGCCCCACGTGCCCGCGAGAGGCGACCCCGGCATCAGCGGGCGGCGGCGTCCAGTCCCGCTCGCCAATCGGAGCCCGTGGAGCCGCGCCGCTCCGCCGCGCCGCCCAATCAGCGGCCGCTCGGGGGCCTGGGCACCGCCCATCCCGGCTCGGGCACCGCCCATCCCGGCTCGCACCCCGCACTCCCGCTTAAAGGGCCTAAGCCGGGGGGCGTCTGTTGCGGGACTGCGCGCCCTGAGCCCCCCGAGGACTCACTCCCGGGACACTCCTGGGGAACCCTGACCCCTCCCGCCCCTTGCCTAGGGTCTTCTCGTCCTCTAAGCGTCGGCTTCCGCAGCGCCTCTTCCGCGAAGCCTTCCCGTACCACCACTCTGCGGAACCCTTGGGACTCCTCGCTTGCTACCCATCTCATCCTATATGTAACCCCGCAAGCGGCGCCCAACAGCAGGGTCCCCACCCCGCATGCGCGGAACAGAGCCCCGCTCCTTGGTCGTTCAGCGATGCTGTTTGGACCCATCCTCATCTCTCCGGCGGCTCCCAGCGCAGGGCCTGCACTGTGGGCCTGCACCCCAGCGCAGGGCCAGGGGTGACGGTGCCGCCCGGGCTCCCTGAAAATGCAGAGGTGGTAAGAGTGGCGACCAGTGCGCTGAGCCAGGTGCCCTGGGGGAGCCTAGAAATGATACGGTAAACCCAAGTCGGCCAAGCTGTTCGTGTGGGTGAAACCGGCGGATTGCCCGTGCACCTGCCCAGCACGCAAGAGACGAGTGCTGGGCCGAGGGCCTGGGGTGTGTGGCTCGGGCCGCGTGGGGCAGTCGCCGTGCGCCCCACTTCTTTGGGAGTCCTACTTTGGGAGTCTTACCTGCCACGCGAGGCCTGGCTCTGAGCGCCCGGAGCCTCACCCGAGGGAGGCAGCTGATGCTAGAACTGCCACGCGGAGTTTTCGGACCCTCGGCTTGGCCCAGTCAGGGCCTTTGGGGGGAGTGAAGCATCAGATGAAAGCTATGTCTCTTGCGCTGTCACTCACCCTTTCAAATACGTAAATCTTCAAACAAGCAAATATTAAATCCTGACTCGAACACGTTTCTGATAGAATTTTAAAACAGTGACAAGAATTTCAGGTCAACGTAAGAAAAGCCCAAGGACTCGCATGTGAAGGGGACAGCTGAGTACAGAGGGAGCACTCTGCCTCGGTTGCAATGGGTTGAAGGAGAGAGGACCACCTCGCAAGTGGGGACATGCACTGGGGTCCAGAGACATGGAGATCTACACACACACACACACACACACACACACACACATCTGGAGCCCTGTGTGTGAGGTCAAGTACGTGACCTTGCCCCCTGATCTTGCTGCCACCCCTGAGCTTCTTCAGCTGGTCTTCACCCCTACTTGGAAATACAGTATCTCCAAGCCAAGTGCATGTAGACATTTGAAGTTCACCCCTTCATTGTCACTTAGGTGTCAATGTTACCGCTCCGAGGACCTAATTCCCCCCCGGGCACACAGTGACTCCAAGTCCCTACCATGACTGTGGCCCCATTCTCGGCTCATTGGAGGTACACACCGCCCTTGGGGGTCAGCCAGCTCCTGGCAGCTGCTGCCCAATGCCTATCCCCTGTTCATGACAAAGCAGCCCTCAGGAGCCACCGGGAGCAGGGCCTGCCAGCTGTGGGGTTCATGACTCACTTGCGTGGGCAGCCCCAAGAAGCCGCCCGTGTTCAGCCGGGGAAGGGATGGCAGCGGAGGCAGGCAGGGCCGGTGAGTCAGTGACAATTACTGAACTGCACAGGTGTGAGCCTGCTGTCACATCCTTTCTCCCAAATCCCGGAATCTGGCGTTGATGTTGCCAGCTGAGCGGTGAGTGGGCAGCGACACCAGTGGAGCGCTGAACCTGGAGCCCAGGGGGTGAGCTCAGGCAGGCCTGGCACGCGAGCGGCTCCTCACGCGCACGCACACGCTGGCATCTCCTTTCCCCCTGCGGCCCCACCCCTTCCCGTCCCTGAGCACCCCCTGCTGATCCCTAAGTGTGCTCATGGCTGTCCCTGCAATCCATCCCCAGCACTGTCCCCCACAATAAGCGACCTAGAATGGAGATTTAAAAAAAATTTTCAGTGTTACAGACTGGATTGTGTCATCACCTCACCAAATCTGTTTTGAAATCCTTCCCATTAGGACCCTAATGTAACATAAACAGAATTGCAGGGGGTCTTTGCAGTCTGCTGCTTCACACCCCCAGCCACGATGGCCAGGGCTGAGCTGCAGCCAAAGCTAAAGCTGGCAGCTTGAGGTGCCACCCAACATGGAAGCCCAGGTACTGGAACCGTCACTGCTGCCTCCCACAACGCCGTTAGCAGGAAACTGCAGTCCCGAGCCTGAGCTGGGAATCGAACCCAGGCATGGCGCTGTGGGCTGCAGATGATCCGAACCGGTGTCTTGGCTGCCAGTTTAAATGTCCATCCCTGAAGAGGTAAATTCAAATGAGATCATTTGTGAGGGTTTGCTGTGAGCCTGCACACATCCGATCTGCAATAAACAAGCCTGAAAGACTGGTGGGTGCAAGGCGTGGGTTAGTGTCAACA